CCTCCTCAGCCCTGCCCATCAAGAGAGTTTGTGGGTGCTCATCCCCAAGGACTACAGGCAAGGGGTGCTCTGGGCTACAAGGCTGTGGGTTTTGGGGTACTGCCCCAAGCAAGAGTGGGTTATTTGTCCCCTGTCACCAACACGTGGTTTCTGCCCTCCCCAGGTATCCTGAGACACTCCCATATTTTCAGCCGATGCCCCCCAGCAAGGACCCACAGCCCACCCAAAGGTAGGGGACCTAAGGACACAGCCCTGGCTCCTGGGGTGCAGGATAGCCCTGCCCTAGCAAGGAGAGCTTTTCCCTGCATGGGGGCAGAGGGGCCCTGTGGGCCTGAGCAGTGCAGGGGAGCAGAGGGAGGGCTGTGGGGAATCAGTGCTTGCCCGAGGTCTGGAGGGTTTTACTGCCCTCTTTGCACTCCCCTGTGCTGAGCACTGATCAATCCTGGAACCATCCCTCAGGAGAACGGTGGCCAGTGGCAGGATCGCCCCGCGTGCTGCAGAGCACTGGGGACCATCAGAGGATCAGCCACTTGGTGCAGCGCGTCCAGGCTTCCCCCTGGAACAACACCCGACCACAGGGCCTCACAGCACCCCCCAACAAGGTAAGGAAGGCAAAGGCATGGACATGACAGGGGTGACTGAGGCTGGGAGAGTGAGGCTGGGTATCCAGGGGGAATTTGTGCTTTCAGCTGCCCCAGGGAGAGCTGGCTTGGGAGGGTTGCTAGGGGATGATGTGTTGGGCCACATGTTGCAACCAGCTGCTCTCTCCTTCCCAGCCTTGTGTGACCAAGCTGCTGGGCAGCAGTAGCCACACCTCTAAGGGCCAGAAGGACCAGCCTCCTGTTGTGAACAGGGCACAGGGTGAGATGGGTATGTCCCTGTCAAGGCACAAGACCAGAGGGAGGGGGTACTGGTTGTGTGCTGGGGAGGGGGCTGGGGTGGGATGAAGGAGGCAGAAACAGGATGGAGCAGGAGCACTGTCAGATGGGGTGACTGGGGTTGGAGGTGGAGCAAGGTGGGGGGATGGCCCTGGCCAGTGTGGGACAACAGCTTCTGTGCTGGTGGGTGGGGACCAGCACCCCAAACCCTGGGGGTCTCTGGACAGGCAGGTGTCCCTGCTGCCTGCCACGTCCTGGGCTGGCAGCGCTGCCCCAGCCGGGGGCTGCCCCTGGGAAGTGGGGAGCTCACCCTTGCCCCTTGTCCCCAGGCCCTTCCACCTCACAGGAGCACCGGCCAGCCAAGACCTGCAAGCCCAAGCATGTCTCCTGGGCACCGGAGCTTGTCCAAACACCCCTGCCCTGCTAAACATCACCTGCCCCCAAGCAGCCGGACAGGACTGGACACCCAGTACTCAACAGGGGACGTCTCTTCAGCAGACACAGAAGTCTGTTAAAATTAACCTCCAAAAGAAGTTTTATTAGGTTAATAATAAACCTTCAAAATGCAGACAAAGCCTGGTCCCACCAGCCTCTCTCTTCCTCAGGCTCCCTGATGCTCCTCAACCTTTCTCCTCCCTCCTGTCTCTCTGCCACCAGGTTGAGCACATCGTGCCCCGTGGCCAGGACTTGAGGCCAGTGCTGGTCCCGTGGCACCTTGTGGGGCATCTCTGAGGATCTGGGGCCTGCTGTGGAACCAGGAGCAGCCCAGGGTGTGCTCAGGCCCTGGGGGCTGCAGAGCCTGAGCCCCTCTTGTCCTTCAGCTGCACTGGAAATGGCTTCAGGCTCAGCTGCTCCATTCCCTTCCCTGGGATGGAGGTGAAGCCTCTGCTGGTCACCTCCCTGCTCCTGCTCCTCCTCGTTGTTCCTGGGGAGGGGGTGGCCCAGAGGCACCGTGTCCTGGTGTGGAGCAGCTTTTGAGGAGGAAATTAGCAATTTTGACAAGGACACTGGTTAGGCAGCAAAAGAAATGGGAAGAAACAGCCCTGCCAGGGAAGCAGCACCTGATTTTAGCCCTAGGGCTGCCCAGCTGTGGTGCCCCCAGGAGATGGGACACAGGCAGCCTCTACAAAAGCCAAATTGCACCTTTGGTTGTTCATAGGTCTCCCAGCACCAAGCAGAGACCTGGATCATGTGCCACCTCCAGAGGGGACATCCCAAAGGGAGGTGCCATTGGGTGCATGGAGCACTGGATACATACTCTTGGAATATGGACCACAGGTGGCCACAGCATGGCCAGTTAGAGCAGGGCAGCCACATCCACACAGAGATGCCACCTCCATGTCTTGTCCCCATGCAGAGAGGCCACTTCCTGCCTCATCCCTCCCTCACTCCTGGACTGAACACAGCACTGACTCACCTGTCCAGCTCCAGGCATGAGCAGATCCCAGGGTTGAGTCCCTAACTCGGATGAGGAAGGACATCCCAGGCATCACCTCTCCTGAGCTTCCTGTGATGCCCAAGGAGCATCACAGGTGGCAAGGTCCCCATGCCACCCTCATCCCACCCCTTTGCACGCAGCAGTGCTGCGTCCCGGCCTGGGCTCCACTCCATGGATGGATATTAGGACAAAAAGCAGTGCAAGGATTACTGTTGGCAGAGTTTACCTGGTCCTCCATTATGATTCAGGTATCTTTAGACTTCATGTTTTATTAATCCTCACTGTACAGTTAATGGCATCAGAAGGTGATGCCTGCAAAGGCCTGTGCTGCAGCAGCCTCTCTGGGAGATACAGGGGCTCGAGCACTTCCTTGTAAATATGCACATTGAGGAATTATATAGTGAGACTACACAAAAGATGGAGCTGGAGTCCTGAGCAGGAATATGATGCTTACAGCCTTGGCCTCCTGCCCCTGCCCAGCCCAGGGAAGGGCTGGCTTGATAGAAAATTCATTGTTTTCTGCCAGCTGTACTGGATAAAGCCTCCTGTCCACAAAACCTGTTTTCTTCCCTCCAGGAGTGTTGGCTGGAAAAGGGGGTTTGCTGGTGACCTGTCAGCCACCACGGGGACAGCTCAACAGCCACTGCTGGAGCCATCCTCCCCCTCAGCAGTGAAGACAGGATAATGGAGCAGAGGGTCACAAACCTCCCTGAAGCCACTGCTCAGGATTGAGCTGTGACAGTGGGATCACCCACAGGAGCCACCACCCCAGCACTGGGAGAGGATCCCACCCTTCAGTCCTTCCCAGCTGTGGAACCTTAGGACCTGACCTGAGTGAGCAGCAACTGCCTCCAAAAGCCAAGGGCAGGAGTGTAGCACCTTCATCAGCTCCCCTACTGCACCAGCACTGGGCTGAGCCCTATGGACCTTCTGTGACTGGAAATTCCTCCCAATAAAGTTCAAATGAATTATTCTTCTTCCAGCCCTTGGAGGACAGTGAAGCCCATGGACAGTGAAGCAGCAGCACCTGCTCCAGAAATAAGCCATGTGGTGACCCAGGGACCCACTGATCTTGCCCTGCTGTTTTAGGAGATCCCAAGACCCTGCACTGCACAGGGTCAGGGAACTGCTGGAGAGACAAAGTCCCAAGTTATTTGTTCTTGACAGCAACTCTTACTCACCTTGAAAAAGGAAAATCAAGGACCACACTGCACAGACCCTGTTACAGCTGTATGGACAGTTTTTATGGTGCTGTCATCAGTCATCTGTAACTTTCTCAGGGCCTTGCTCTGGAACCAGCCCACCACCTGCACACCTCACCTGCTACTGGAAAGAATTTAAAACTTCCAGGTAATCATGGTAATGCAGAATTTTAAATCCAGGAACAAGAAGAGCCAGAAAGCAAGGGGAAAAGCATTCCATTTTTTCCTGTATCTTAGGGCAGCTGGCAATACGTTCCTATAAAGGATCTACAGACACTGGTGCAGGAAAACACAGCAGGAAGAGATGGATGTTTTGTTGCTGTATGAGCAGTGCCAAGCCAGGGCACAGCCAGTCAAGGAAGTTTCCAACTGAGATGCTGTAGAACAAAAAAAGCACCAAGCCCTGGAATAAACCCCTCCAGTCCTGCCTCATCAGTGACAGTAACCACACAATGCTCAGAGCATCCATATGGGCATGGGGTAGGAACACAAGGAGAGGAGAGGCAGGAGGCTGGGAGCTGGCAGCTCCTCCCAGACTGTTCCACTACAATTCCCATTTCCCAATTCCCTGCAATTCCCACTGATCCCTTTCTCTGAAGATTTGTGGTAGGTGAGCTGGATGAGGATGACCTGACCCCAGCCTCTGGAAAATGAAGGTGGCACCAATCAAACTGGAGTGGGTGCAGTGCAGCATCCTGCAACACTCCTCACCTCTGGGCATCGGGGATGTGTCAGTGAGGGACTGGGGAGATAACCATAGGGGAAAATCACCATGGATGAATAAACACCACCACCACCCCACAGCTCAGGAGATACCTGACAGCAGGAGCTGCCCCAGGTGTTGGGCCTGGCTGTCCTCACCTCTGGCACAGGATGCAGGAGGGCAGAGGCCACTGGGTGCCAGCTCTGGCACAGCTCACGCCCAGGGCAACTCTGCAGCCTCCCAGGCAGCTGCAGAGCCCAAAGACAGATGGTTCAAGGTCACTGCTGTGGCTCAGGGCAAGGGGGACAGTGCCACAGCCCCGTGTCCCCAGCCCCTTCCAGCTCCTGCTCCGCAGAACACCCTGAACACACCCCAGCAGCCCCGGGGTGCCCGACTTCAGCCACAGAGTTTATTGTTTAGTACGAGCTCACCACACCAGCAAGCCAGGACAGGGGGGTGGTACATGAATACAGATGTGGAGGAGTTACACAGACAGATTTGTACAGCTTTTGTACAGAGGAAGAAAATGAATCAAATAACAAAATAGACATTAGCAGTCAAACCTTTTTTTTTGTCTTTTTTTTTTTTTTTTATATCATACTAACAAAATCTGATAGCCAAAAAATGACTAAGCTACAAAATTGTAATACATACTGTACGGGTAAAAGGTTATCATCCATTTATACATCTAGTATTGTCTTTATTCTGGTAACTTACATGAGGCCTATAGGATCTTAGTGTATTAATAACTCCCTACAGATAGTGCTGAGCTGCTAAAGCTGCCAAATAATGGAGTACTAGAATTTCTGTTAAGACTTTTACAGTGTAATTTGCATCATTTTGTTTAATGAAACCCTCATGCATCTCTACTGCAAGCCAGAGGAGCTGCTGGTGGCTGGGGTGAGGCAGGAGCTGTAAGGCCTTGGCTGGCAGCCTGACACAATCATTCCATAGGGCACCAGCACGGTGCTGCCCCTTGCTCCAGCTCTCTGGATGCTGCAGGAGGGATAAAGCTGAAATCCCCAAGCAAGACTGATTCTTTTCCCTTTGGTCTTGTGAGTTAGAGAAGAAATCACTCAACACAGAGTAGTCTCCATTCCAAAGGCTTTTTTTTCACTGGATAGCAGCTCAGCTTTCAGCAGAAAAGCATCACTAACTGTCAGGGTAATGCCACTGGCCCTGGGGCTGCTCCCACAGCCGGGGTGCTGGTCCTTCCCTCGGAGCCCAGAGCTCCAGCAGTGCGTGACCTCCTGCTCCCAACCCTGCAACTCTGGGGCACGATGCTCAGGACCCAGCTCCAGATGGAAAGCCAGCGTGGCACTCCTGGGCTGGGAGAAGGGCTGGGGAGAGCACAGCCCCCCACACCAGCTCTGGGGGATCGAGAGAAGAGCAAGGCTGAAGCCGAAGGGGGAGTGAAGGCACAAACAGGAACCAGCCCGGATCGACAGCAGGAGATGGTGCATCAGCCCTCCAATGCCCTTGGAAACCTCTCCCGAAGAACCAAGCCAGTAAGAACAAGTATTGTGAAGTACTTTATACACCACCACATAGGCAAAAATAGCACTCAAACGTACAAATAAATAGAGGGGCTGGGGAATCTCCTCCTTGTCCTTTCCAAGTCTGTCCCTAGTTTGGTCTCTTATAACCTCAGAAGGGCAGCCAGAGGCCAGTGCCCTGGGGAAGCCTGTGCCAATTTTGGAGAGGGAGGACATGACTGAGGTCTAACCCCTCCTGGCCCCTTACACAGGGTTGGGTTGAAGCCCAGATGACACGTGTGTGACAGCATGTCCTGTTGGTGTTGTGGTTGGTCCCATTTGGGAGCAGCTCCCATGGACCTGCACCCCAAGGGTGTTGGGAGCTTCACCCCACTGCCCATTTGGGTACAGCCCTGCAACAGGACAACCACAGAGCCTCCACAGAGAGCCAAGCAGTGCTGTCAGCTCCTGGCTGATCCTTAGGGACCAGTACAGCTCTTTACAGCCAGAAAAGACCATCAGCACCAACTCTGAACCTGCTCTGACTCATCTGCTGCTGTTCTGCACTGTCACCCGAGCTGAAAAGGAAAAGCCACAGGTCTGAGCTGTTCTCAGGGGATGGTCCCCAGGAGGAGGCAGGAGCCAGAGACTCCTCCAGCCTGACAACTTCGGATCTGATTAACAGAACCAAATAAATGGTCCCCATAACCACTCCTGGTGAATCCTGCCCTGTACAGAGCCAAAGGGAGGTGGAAAGCACAGGTATCATTCCTCTGTAGGTGAAGGCAGCTGGTCACAAGTCACCAGAAGACCTATCAGGGAAAATAACTTACAAACCAGAATGGGGCATCCCTCCTGCAAGGGCCCAGGAAGCCCTGGGAAGCTGCAGACATGACTTTAGAGACCATCCAGCCAACAGGAGCACTTTGGGAAACACCAGCCCTAAATTCTTAAAATTTAAAACAGCAGCTCCCAGTGAGGTATCTCTATTGAGGGCTGTAACAAATGAACACTCCCTCTGGGACTTTCCTAAATCACTTAGAAGATGAATACACCACCAGGAGGATTTTGGAGACCACCCTAGGGAAACTCCCAGAGCTAGGCAGAGATGTGGCAATCTTTCCCGAAGAAACACTCTACAAGGCAGGATGGGATCCCATGTGAATTACTTCCAGCCAGTTCAATCCTAGGCTCTACCTTCCAGTGCCATGTGCCAGATTTCTGCTGTGCTTTCTGACCTGCTTTACTCCCCTGAAGCCCCCTTCCTCTCCCAGCCTCCTTTGAAGGATGGGAGATCACTAATCATGAGTGAGCAGGGTCAAGTATTCAGCATCATCCTCCTCATGGCAGAATTGCAGCCATGAAGCCCAAGTCTTTCCCAGGCTGCTTCTGGCTGCCCACCCTTCCAGGAAGCAGGAGTCCAGCAATCCTTACTATGAATAAGTAACACAACTATGTGGGAAATCAGGGCAAAAAGCAATGGAGCTGATGTGCCATCATGTTCACCTGCCTGGGATCTGGCTCAGATCTCCTCTCCCAGTGGTCTCTTCCATCCTGTCCTTTCACAGATGCCCCATCATAACACAAGAGCTCATAAGACTGGAGGAGTTGGGCATTAACAGGGGGGAAACCTGGTAAAATATTACTGTGACTGTTCCCTGTGGTACTGAACAGTGAACCTGAGCTGGGCTCTCTCACACCTTTAAGAGCACATTGACCCCTTCCTCTGCCCTCGTGTCCTTTGGGAGCTGAGGTCCAAAGTTAGAGTAAAGCCTTGGGAAGAAGGCACAGGATCCTTGCCTGGGTCTGCACTGCTGGTACAGACACGAGAGCTGTGCAGGCTCCACTCCTGGATTTCCCCTGCTCCAAATACTCACACTCAGGCCATACCAGAGTCAGTATGAGGGCTCACAGCAGCACCTTCACCTCATCCATCCCAGGTTATCCCACTGAAGAGCCAAGGACAGTTCTGGAAAGTGCCAGGCAATCAGCTGATACATTAAACAGGCAAGGAGGGAACCTTCTCCCCAAGCCATCTGTCCCACACTGACTGCCCCCAACATGGAGTTCCCAGGCCAGTGATCCTGAGATCCAGCATCTCTGGATCTTGAGTTCAAAACAGACCCAATAAAACCCCAAGGAGTGAGGGGGGCCAGGCTGGACAGGCTGTGGCATGGGACATCAGCAGGTCTACTCAAAGATCTCACTGCAGGAAGAAAGGCCACCAACACCTGAGAGAAGTGTGCCTGTCCCCAAACTCAGAGCCACCACAGCTCCTTCCCCAGAAACAGCAGGGGGGGAGAAACAAAATAAATATTCCTCTGAAACTGGATTATTTCCCACAACATGCTATGATACAAGAAGTAAGTGCAGCCTCTGTGCTCTAAAACAGTGATGTCTTCTGCAATGAGAGGAGGGGAACACGTCCCCACACCCTGTTTTCCCTCATGCCAGCAGGTTTCACTCACTTGTGCAGGTCCTCAGGACATCAGGGTGGGTGGGAGGGAAGGGACAGACCCCGTGGGAAGTGTGCAGCCTCTGGGCACACACTTTGGAGTTGGACACCACAAGCAAATCCCTTTGCAGCTCCTGTGGGGTTACTGGGACTCGCTGACACTTCAGCCACCGGTCAGAGCAGCTGCCACCCAGACCATGTCAGCTGGTGGGGCAAGGGCAGCTCAAACAACACAAATTCCACAGTCAAAACCAATACAAGTAAGAAACCAAACCCAGAGAGATCCTTCTGCTCCCTCCTGGAACAATGGCTGTCTTGGAAAACTGGACTCCGGGATTGTCCTGATTACATCAGTTACTACATTATAAACATTGTCCTTCCTTAAAGTGAAAATACTGTGTGTGGTCTTTTGGAGGTGCTAAAAGCCAGATGTGGTGTTGTTTTTCCTGACTGTGCAGAGGAGCTGATACTGGCGTGAAATGATCCTCTTCACCTCTTCTCTATCAGAGCTTCTCCTGGAAGAAAACAGACCTTGTCAGGCAAAATGAGACAGGCACAGAGGTCTTTTCTGGAAGAGGACACTGAGGCATGGAGTGGAATGCCATGTCCTGACCCACTGCTCTCCCAGTGAGTCCCTCAGACTGGCCATCCTGCCTGCAGGGAGATGAAATCTGAAGCTACAGGTCTTGTCCTGAATAATGAAAACCGAGACCAGGACAGCGTCCCACAAATGCCAGCCACATAAAGGGGATGGCAGAGATCTGAGTCTGAGCAGGTTCTAGCCGGGGCTGCCAGGAGAAGAGTCACACAGCACTGACCCAGGACACTGCAGTGCTTCTCTGCTTTCCCACTGCTTCTCCCAGGGCAAGCACCCACTGTGAGGTTCCCACCACACTCAGGAACTGGAGATGTGCAAAGCCTCTTCCTTTCAGTGTGGGAATGATACAGTCAAGCTTTTGCTGGCAGAACTGCCCCATCCAAGTGCTGTGCCCAGCGCAGCAGGCAAGAAATCACACAAAGCAGCCACTGTTTGGAACAACATCCTGCTCCTAACTTACCTCTTGCTTGTGGGATTTATCCTGTTGGTGAATCCCGTTAGAAGACCCAGAATTTCCAACAGTCTGCAATGGAGAACAGACAATTCTTACTGGAGAGGGACAAAGATCCTGGTGGGTTTGCTTACAACACCGAAATCTGGTAAAGCTGACGTGTCCTTCCTTAGCTGCCCACTCCACACAAGGAAAGGAGGATACAAATATCCCAGCCCACTTTTGGCAAGAAGCTTCCTGCCCTCTACGCCCTGGTCCAATCCCCACCATCCCTCCCAGCTACAAAACATCCCCTGATTTCCTTACAGACACACTCCCACCTCTTAAATCCCCAAAAGCAAACCCTCAGCCAAAGACAGTGTCAGCTGCAAAACATGGCACACTGAACATCCAGCACTGAAAAGGACATTTGCCACTTCCCATCTCCAGAGACAAGTCTGGCAGCCAGGACAGGCTGTTCTATCTTTAAAAAGCACAAGAACTTTTAAATATTTATAATGTTTCTTTAGCAGGGATAATGCGGAGCCCTTCAGCTTCAAAATGACAGCATAGCCAGCACAAGCAAGAGAAGAAAGCTGCAGCCTGGAGTCCCAGCATTCCAGTTGACAGAGCAATTACCACAGAAGCTAAAGCCACTCTGGAGGTACCAACAGGATTATGGTACATCTTGGACTGCCACAAACTTGTTGTCTGGGCCAGCAGAGCTTTCAGGGTTGCAGTTTTTACCTTGCACCCTCCTCCTGACCAACTCATGTGCCACTGCAATGCAAACAGGGTTTGGTGTATCCAAAGGGGACTGTCATGGGGGGGTAGAAGGTTTGATATCCCCAGATTACCCACCACAGCATATCTACACCTGCATCAGGGAAAATAAGCTCTCAGCCCATTCTCTGTACTACCCTAAGGTACATTACTGCAAGAGAAAGACATTTTTCAGCTAAGCATTTAAGTGAGCAAGTATGAGAGGAGCACTGGGGCATCTGGGCTCTGAGAGCCACGGCCTGGTTGAAGAGCCAAGAGAAAATACAGCTGGAAGAGCAATCAAGGACAGGAAGCACAAAGCAGGTCACTTTGCAGGAGGAATCAGTCAGGGTTGAGACACCACACATGTGAGATGGAAAAGCCAAATGTTGAGAGTCAATTTACTTGTAGCCTTCACTTTCACAAAGAATGATGCAAGACAGAAAATAGAAGCAGTTTTCTTTTAGTCAGAAGAAACAAAGGGAGACCAGAGGAAGTTGGGAAAAGAAGATAGTAACTGGAGTGGGAACATTCACAGTCCACCAGCAAACCCACATTGGACACAGAGGTGCCTCCAGGAACTGGTAAGAGTGGAAAACATTTTCCCAGGGCAATTTCTCCAAAGTTTCTGCCTATGGACTGCACAGAAATAAACCTCTCAAAGAAGAGGGATGGCAGAGAAACCTCAACTTTCGTGTTCTAAAGTGCCTGTACTGCAAGGCCGTGCAGCCACATGACACTGCACACACAAAGAACAGTTACTCACACTGCAACTTCCCCAAAACGCCACGTTTAGCAACCGCTCTCCAGGGCACAGAGGGATCTGTGATTACCAGCTAGCAGGGATTTTACAGCTTTAAGCTACATCTGACAGAAGGTGGCTCCAGCAGGGAGAAGGCGACCCAGCCGAGGCATCTCCCCGGAGCACAGGGCAACATCCCAGGGGATTGCTGAGGGCTGAGCCACCCTGGAGGTGGCTGCTGATGCTCTACCTGTGTTTTCTCAGAGGAGAGCCTCATCGCTTCCATGAGCTTCTCCATCTGGTGCCCCTGCTCCAGCGCGTTGCGCAGCACGTCCTCCGTGCTGACGAGCCGGTGCTGCAGCCGGATCACCTCCGACTCCGACGAGGGGTCGATCAGGGAGAATCGCCGCTGGTCCGTCACAGACTTCTCCTTGTCCTTGGACAGCAGAGGGAAAAGGAGGAGCATGTTAGATCAAAAAACTACAGAAACTCCAAGTACAAACCCACAACCCCACGTAACTCCTGGAGCCGCGCTGCGATTCCAGCGGCGGATGGGGGCCGAGCACAGCTCCTGCCAAGTGCGACCAGCAGCGGCTCCAGTTCAAATCGGTTATTCACATTTCAACCACTGGAGGACACTGAAGTACACGGGAATTAGAGGATGTTACTTATTCTTAGATCACAGAACGTGTAAAACGTTCTCTGAAAGACCTGTAGCTGAAAGACCTTCGGTTTCTCCCGCAAATTTAAGCCCTGTTTGGCCACGGATCTAAAACCTGTGGGAACAGAAAAACACTGGAGGAGGACATACCAGTCTACAACTTCCTCACAAGGGTAGGCACTGATCTCTGGTGACCAGTGACAGGACCCAAGGGAATGGCTGTGTCAGGGGGTTTAGAATCACAGAATAGCCTGAGTTGCAAGGGACCCACAAGGAAGGTGGATATGAGGAAAGGGTTCTTCCCCCAGAGGGTGGTTTGGCACTGAACAGGCTCCCCAGGGCAGTGGGCACAGCACCAAGGCTGCCAGAGCTCAAGAAACATTTGGACAACATGCTCAGGGACAGGGTGGGATTGTTGGGTCCTCTATGCAGGGCCAGGAGTTGGACTCTGTGATCCTTGTGGGTCCCTTCCAGCTCAGGACATTCTGTGATTCTATGACATACAGACATTTTTGATGCTCAATGAGATGCTGCTAAGCCGGGCCACTGCTCACAGGCACTGTCAAGGAAGCGCCCCATCAGATTGGGAAGCACAAAACAAGGCACAGAGACTTGGAGCAAGGTCTGAAAGGCTCAGCCCACCCTCCTCCCCAGCAGCACAGAGTCCTCCAGCCCCAGGCCAAGTCCAGGAGGGGGTTTGGTGCCCTCACCAGCACAACCAGTTTCTCTCGCAGCCCCTTGATGTCATCTTTGAGCTTCTGCTCCTTCAGCCTCCACTCAGCTTTGTGCACTTCCCGGCTGAGGTCGCGCTCCGGCCCCGGTGAGTGCCGGTTTGCCTCCAGTAACAAGGCTCTCAGCTCGTTCAGGCTCCTGGAAGAAGCAGCATGAAGAGGTGAAAACATTCCCAGAGCCCACACACCACTGGAGTCCTGCTGTGCTCCCTCCCATCTTTGCTGCAGATCCAAAGACAGGCCAGTGAGCAAATCTCCCCAGTTCCCACCGTGCTTCAGGGGCTCAGATCCCTTGTTGTCCCACTGTGCCAGCTTCAAGGAAACTGGGACCTGCACAGGGCACTGTTTTGGAGCAGGGCAGCTCTGATAACTTCATTCAGCATCTACATGGGCACTGAGCTGTCTTGCAGCTCCTGGCAAGCAGTGAGTGACAGGGTAGTGCCTCTGAGAATTCACAGCCCCTAATTCTAACCAAATTCCCACATCAGCATCTCTAAAGAACAGGAAAACTGGGGGCTGGACTTCAACAATGTCTACATTCCTTCAGATGGTCAATTAAGCACCCAGAATGAACATGAATACACACAGAGCCCCTCTGTCTCCAGACCTGCACACTGACCTTTCCTTCTTGAGCAGTTCCTGGCTAATCAGGACCAGTTGCCCTGAAGCATCGTGTGTTTTCTTGGTCAAGGCTTCCAGTTCCCCTTCCAGCCTCTTCTTTTCTTTGAACACTGAATCAGCCTTCTTTTCTGCTGTTTTGCATTTATTTTCCAAAGCTAGAAGCAGAGGATTTGGGGGAAGAAAGGTCACTTGGTCCTTTACTTACAGTCCCACTTTTCGCCTTTTCCCAATTCCCACTCCTAAGAGCACAGATGTGTTTAGTTCTGGATCTGACCCTATTTAAGGGGAGATCCTGGAAACAACACTCAGCTCCACTGACTTCTCTCTCTTTAGCTTTAGACATTCAGGGAACCCAAACCCTCCCTCACAGGATACAAAATATTTCCTGCAGTGTTTGTGTTCAACTCACGAATTAATGTTTACCAACATTACCCACTGAAAGATCAGCAGCATCATGTTTTACACCAGCCCATTTCAGCACCTGGGCCCTTGTTCAACACCAGTAACAGAGGATGAGGAGGGAAACACCTCATTCCCACCAACACTGGATTAGGGAAACTTACCACTTACTTGGGCCCTTAGAGTTTCAGTCTGGGACACCAGGGATGACACCTCCTTGTCTCTTTTACTCAGCTTGTCTTGGAGGTCTGTGGGGAAAGGAAAAGACAAAGATCAGAAGGCTGGAAAGTGCTTTGTGCAAATCAGGGAGGTGTTGACTGTATGGCACAGGTTGGGGTGCACAGGGCATGGTGATGGTACCCTTCCTCAGCAGAGAAGCAGCAGGAGAGAGATAACACATGTTTCTCACTGCATCTCATCACCTTCCAGGCATTTGGAGGTGGGATGCACAGCTGGGAAGTCATATCAAACAGGTTTAAGAAAACAACCACAACGGAGGGGGGAAAAGGGGAATAAAACATAAATAAAAACCACCAAAGGAACTTTCAGAACATTTATTTGTATCACCTCCTACACTGGAAGGCAGAGATAGTTCCAAAAGACATGTTTTCTGGAACTAATGCATTTCCACAGTCAGAGCTGTAGATCTGAAGTCTGATGCTTTTGTGGCTCAAGTCTGACTTGGTTGTTTTCAGTACATCTATCTATCTTTGGCTTATTCAGCATGGAAACAACACACATATGGGCTGAGTGATCATTTAGAGCAGTGGCTGCTGGACCAGCTAAGCTCTGCCAGGACTAGGCAGGAATTACCTGTCAATCAGCAAACAGTTTGGTGCAGAAACCTAGAACAGTTTGGGTTGGAAGGGAACTTAAAGATCATCTTGTTCCAACTCCCTGCCATGGGCAGGGACACCTTCCACTAGCCCAGGTTGCTCCAAGCCCCATCCAGCCTGGCCTTGGACACTTCCAGGGATGGGGTATAGCATGTATGTGCTCTGCATAAAACTGTACCTGCAAAGACAGATGAGGCTGATGGACAAAGCCTGGCTTGCACTGAGGGCAGATGGAAATAGGACAAAACATCTCTGTTTGAATCCACCACCAGCTGGAGGAACACTCAAACTGAACAAAGGTTCTATTAAGTGAAGTTTAAGCCAGTAAAAGTCCCCAGTAACCTCAGTTTAAATTGCTGCATCCTAACAGGGGCTGTCTGAGCCATCCAGCTCTGCTGCTGCTCAGACTCAGGGTTACAGTTCACCCTCTGTGAGGGGGCTGAGTGCAGTTCAGTTTCAATTTCCTTTATGCAAATTTTCTCAGTGCATAAAATTCCAAGTTTTGGTAAAAGGACTGATTTGATTTATTGTAAGCTTAATAAAAAGTAGCCCTCGTTATTTTAAGCCAGTCACATTAATATTTGCCATCATCACTCCTCTCCTATGAACAAATGACATTTCAGGTCTGAATTTTACCTGCTGTAAGAATCAGTGATGAGATGGAAATGTACCTATTTCCCCAGATCTGTCTCCAACCCGCAGCATCTGCATAGTGAGTGTGTAATAAAAATGAAAACTTCCCTCCCTGCATATACTCAGCCAGAAGAGAAGGAAAAAACAAAGCCAGGCAACAAATGCCATCCAGCAAATTCTGAGAGATGAAATGACTTCCTAAGCCCCATCTATGCAGCTGTGCCTGCAAGAACAGAAAGTCAGAGGAGGTAAAAGCACATAAGCTACTAGAACAGGGTTTTCCACATAAAAACTATTGTTTCATACCTTCCATAGTCTGCTTCATCTTTATCTTTTCTTCTGAAATATCATTAGTTTCAATCATCTGAAATAAATGTAAGACATGAGATGTAAACCAACATTTTACCCGAAGATTTAAAGCAAAGTTAAGAACCACAAAGCCCCATCCAAAGCAGAGGGTATTCAATAACCAAGTAAGGGTGTTTCACATCTTTCCCAAGAGGGAAATAAAGGGTTTAGAGGAGCCACTTGTCCTGTTGGGCAACCAGCACTATCTGAGAGTGCCCACACACAACAGGCAGCTGAGCACAACAGTGGGATTCACCCAGGAGGGAAGAGAGCTCAGGCTTTCCCCACAAGCTCTGGGTCCAGCTCTGCACACTCAGAGTTTGCACAGGGATGGAAGAGCTGCTCTCCCTCAGACCAGGCTCCTCTGGTCCATCACAGTGAATATTCAGGTGCAAATGCTCTCCAGCACTCAGCTTGAGACCCACCAGTCAACGAGTTCCTCAGCTCCTGAAGGACTTAACTCTGCCCCAAGTTATAAACACATTGACAAAATAATAATAATTAGAGAATGAATGCATCAATAAAAAGAATAACAAGCAAATGCTGGTCCATATAGAGGATTCTGCCTTTCCCCCCTTTTCTATACTGCAAGGAAAAGTCAGAGGTCACAGAGCTCACAGTCAAGCTTTCTGTGACATGAGGCCACTGTGGCCACCACTGAGAGCCCTGAGGTCAGTCCCCAAAAGTCTGAGTGGGTTGTAGGACACAAACAGAAGCAGGAGCACCCCTGAAAGGGAAACCCATTTCCTGATGTACTTTTGGTATGGAAAAACTACTTAACTGCTCTTGGGAAGCCCAGTTGTGGCTCTCACTTGAAGGTCTAGGAACGACTGTCACAAGACACGTTTGATTGTTTAAAATACTTGGACAGTTAATACCATTGCAGTCACTTTAAATTAACATTTTAAAATAGAACTTGACCTGTGGTTCTCAAAGGCTTTCACCCATGCATTTCTTCCCATATTCTCCTGATTTTAATCGACACACAGTTGAAATAATTACTTCAAGACTCCCCACTTCTAATCCAGTATCAATATCCCCCAGAGCCCTCTCATTTATCTAAAGGGCTCTGGAAGGAGCCTCCAGCTCCTTCTTTTCCATTCATTCCCGTTTGAATTTCAGCTATAACATGGGTGACATGTTGTAATAACAGCCCATTTTTCCCAGGGTCCTGACTCTACTTATTGTTCCCAACTGTCTTTACTAGATGAAACACACTGGAGCAACCCCTGAAACACCATCAGTGCTGTAGATTCCTCCTTGGCTTTTGCCTCTCCTCTCCTCAGTGTGCCTTTTTGCAAGCTCTGACTTGGCCAACAGGAACTCACAGGCTTGACTTTGCTACCTGAAGGTGCAGCTGGTTTCAGTGGGGCTGTTGGTGCTGGGAAATTAAACACAGGCATTGAATTCACTTCACTGGCAACTCTGTCTGGAACAGCAACTACATCACCAGTGAAATTTCAAGACAGCATTCTTAAAACATGCACATTTTACAGCTTATTTGCATTTTCTGCATCCCCACAGGGACAAGGGGTAAACTGGGGTTTTTTGCTCATTTCTCATGCAGAATCCAAACACAAATAGGGGCCCAGCCTCGAGCCAGAAGTAGCAATCTCCCCCCTCACTCCAGTGCAGAACCAGCCACGTGTCCCTGTGCCATGCACAAAGGCAGGATGATGGCATCCTGTGGGACTATTAAAAAAAAAAAAGGATGACAAAGAGACAAAGGCCACAGAAAAACAACCTCTTCATATTATTACTGCTCTTATTCCAGCCTTCCCTGGGAGGCTCAGGACTCATATTCAATCAGGCATTTTGTTTCCCCAGCCTGGTGCCATCCTGACCCTTGCCAGCAGCCCTCCCACTATAATCCTCAAATCAACATTTCCTTGTCTCCCATACATGCTGTGAAGTCTCCCCACTGCCTCTGCTGTGCTGCTGGTACCCTCCACCCCACTCCATCCCACAGCTCAGCCCCCTCACTGGGGCTCTTAAATCCTGCTCCAGGTGCTGAGAAAGCAATGTTGCCCTATCTCAGGGCAACTGTTCATCCACCCTCTCCCTCCACCCACCCCAAAGGACACCAAGGCTGCTGCAGCTCCTTGGAGGAATACACCTGTACTGTAGGAATGATGCTTTTCCAGCTCAGAACGCTGCTTGCTCAGGATGAGAGCCCACCCTGACAAACCACAACCACCCTGCTCTGCTGCCACAGCAGCCTCCAAGCCCAGGTGTGGCCCCACTTGCTTCTCCTGACTCGAATGTTTCCTAATTGTCTCCTGTATTGGATTTCAAGAGAGGGAAGACACCTTCAGCATGGAGATAAAGTGCAGAAGGAGCACTGTCAGTGGAAGGAAAAAAACATCCAGGTATTTGAGCCTCAGAAAACTGCCCGAGGCAGCAGCTGAGGGCTACTCCTAGGAAGGGTTACCAACAGTGATGATAAACAAGCGAAACCACCCCAAAGTCATACATTTGCATGCTGAGAAGGGTGCAGGGCCTCCATGGACTGCAGCTTGTTCTCTAAGACAAGCACTTTTTCCTGCAATCTTTGGATCTCCTGTTTGCTCTGGGCTTCTGTTTTCTGTAACGTTTCATAGTCCAACATCTTCTTCTCGGCCAAAGAAATCTGCTCTTTCAAGAAAGCTATTGCTTCTGTCTGGTCTGTGTATTCACCATGAAGTTTCTCCAGTTCATGCACCCTCAGCTCAGCATCTCGACACTTGTCCTTCACATCCTGGAGCTCAAGAAGGTGCTGACTGCTTTTGGTTTCCAGTTGCATTTTCCAGTTGCTGTTGCTTTTTTCCACTTCATCCAAAGCCTCCTGCAGCTTCAGTTTGAGACTCTCTTTCTCCTTTACGTGCACAGCTGTCTCAATGTCGTGCTTTGCTTTCAGGTTCTCCAACTCAAGCTGGTGCTCCATCTTTATACTCTCCACCACTGCCTTCAGCTCCACGATCTCCTTGTGCTGGGTGTCAGGGCCTGAGTTCAGTGTGGCTTTCAGGTCCTCCAGAGACTTCTGGTGGTCAGAAGCCAACGTGTCCAACTTGGACTTCCAGTTGTCCATGAGCCCCATGTTCTCGTTAGTGGCTTGCTGAACTTTATGCTTTAGGTCAACGATTTCCTGCGAGTACTTCTCGTTGACAGACTTCAGCTTCTCCATCTCCTGCTGGTACTTCTTTAACGTCTTCTCATACTTCTCCTTCAGCTGGCTGCTCTCCTTCTGATGCTCCTTGTTGGCAGAGAGCAGCTGATCCCGCAGCCGAAGAGCCTCCGACTGCAAGCCCAGGTTATGCTCAGGGCTCTCTGCTTGGTGAGAGCTCCTGAGGCACTGGCGGAGCTCGTCCACCTCGCTGCGCCTGAGGCTCAGCTCCTCCTCCAGCTGCAGGATCCTGGACTTCTCTGCCACTGTTGTTAACTGCAACACAACAGAGAACACAAAGTCAGCGCCCGCCTCTTGCCGCCGCGTCCTCCCCCTTCAGTAAGTGTGCTCCAGTGGAGGTAAATCCAAAGTACATCAGTCAAAATTCAAATAAACAGCAAAAAAGAACACCCGGCACCCTCCAACTTGAGCACAGTTTTGCACCAGGGTAACCAGCACTGACAACTCACAGTTATGTCTGTGCCAACTGCAATTTGTTTTTCTCTAATAGGAACCTCTCGTTTTCCACAGAAAAACACCTTGAAAATAACCATTGAAATTTGCTACAGAGCAACGGTGGTTTATGAAAAATAATGTCCTGGAAGGGCATTATGTTTTCAGACCAGGCACCCTGCCAGATGATGCACAGAGGAGATGTGACTGCACATGCAGGAGTATCACAAGCATCGAAACCAGCATTAAGCATATCATGTTTCCTTTATTGCTCAGCAATCCTCAGCCTACAGACCCCTCTGCTGTAACAGAATTTGTTTACCCTGGTGTAAAAAGGAAAAGGGATTTTTACACATGAGTACTTGTTAGAGTTTATTAGCAAAGTCAAAATAACGTAGGAGGCTAGAGGATGCAAGACAATAAATCTGGCCATGGTGAACACTGAGCATAAGGGCTGTGGATCAATATCTTAGGATCTGATTGTAACCTGGCAGGGCCGAACTACCTGTGAGTCACAGGGAGTTCAGGGTGCTGCAGCTGTGGATGGAGAAGAGATTTGACTAGATGAAATATTAGAAAAAAAAGCAGAAGAAACAAGGAAACCGAGCCAAAACCTAAGTGATGAATTCTACTCTGTTTCAATTGATGTTTCCCCACCAACCATCGGCCCAGGAGGCTGGTGGTGGTTATTTTAGGAGGGCACAGGGGGGTTCAAACCAGCCAGACCTTTTGGAGTCCCTCATGTTTGCTTTCTCTACAGCTTTCAAACCCATTGGTGAGGCATAAGCTCACTGCAGCAAGTTTGCTGCTTCCCACAACCACACCAGCGTGAAAAAGCCCTTTCCAGATCTGTCTGCTTTTAGGATTCTTCTGGGCAGCCTGTCCAAGGATCAGAGCAGGCCCACCTGCCCTAACCAGTATGTCCCGTTGCAGATGGCAGCTCCCACAGCTGGCAGGGGGAGCAAAGGGAATGCTGATTGCAACGTCATTTCCTACTGCAGCCTCGATGCAGGATGAATTGTGCAGGGTGCAGATATTATTATTGGGATATGTTAATTGAGAAATGAATTGTGAAGAGCTCGTGTGTCAGATGGTGGCATGGGGCAGAGCAGCAAACTCAGTCTGAGAAACAAGTCCCCACATGAGAAGCAAAGCTGGAAATCATATCATACTACTATTCCCAGGAGAGAGAGAGCAAATAAAAACCAACCAAACAAAAAGAAAAAAAAATATCAGGGAAGCTTAAAGTTCAAGCCAAAAATCAATCAACCCCATAAAAACCAAAAGAAAGAAACCCAAAAGCAAGGCATCATGAGCATCAACGCAGGGGCAAGCGCTGTTCTGCAGGCAGGGCAAGTGGGGGTCCATTACCCTGGTGTCCTCTAATTCTCTGAGGAGTTTTTCAGCCTGTGCCTTCTCAAACAGCAGGCTCTGCTCGAGCTCCCGTATTCGGGCATGCTCCAACTGCGTCTGAGTCTGGTCACACAGAGGGAAAAGAGAACAGTGGAGGTGGGAGGAGGGGAAGGGAGAGGGAGACAGAGAGAGAAAGAGAGGGAAAGAGAAGGCTGCAACATCATCTCCGGCGTACAAGACAAGGAAAGGCAGTTCACAACAGGAGGAGAATAAAGATCCAAACAAGGAGGAAAAATCCAACCAAATAGAAAACGGTCCCTAAGGGGTTTTACATGGTACTTGTAGTGGCTATTCACAGGAAAACTGAATATGTGATGGGAAAACATCCTTCTGCATTAGAAACCTGCTTCGGGGTTTTCCTGCAGCCGCTGGAGACACTTCCTATAAAGCAAAGCTCCCACCAGTACAAGGCCTTTGCACCACACAGGGAATGCAAAGACCTTGCAATGATCCTCTGAGTCTCTCCTCAAGAAGGATCACAAGGTAGGTTGAAAAGAGTTGGAAGTTCCCATCCTCTTTTTGCTCTGGAGACTCTGTGACCCCTGCACTAAGTGGGAGAAAAAGAAGGTCATACTGTTCATGGAGTGTTGTAAAACCCCAAATACACTGCACTGAAGCAAATCAGGGAGACTGAGATTCCCACCTGTCCTACAAATCAGTGCTTTGGGTTTGTATAGGGCTGCCAGGAATCTCAAAAAGCGATTTTTGCACACCAAGACTCTACCAGCCTTGGCATAAGAAAACAACTATTTTGTTTTGGTTTGGGGTTTTTTGTTTTTATTTGTTTGGTTTTGTTGTTTTGTTGTTGTCGCTGCTTTGGGGTTTTGTTTGTTTTTTTGGCAAATGGTTAAACTAAGCACAAGGAGTTTATGTAACCTGCCCAAATCCAGGGGCACTGACTTTGGGCTTTGCTTCAGTGCCCTTCACTTTTAAAGCAGAAGTACCACAAAGCTGCACTTGGTGACAAACTTCAGCACTCCACAACCACCACTGTAAAATATCATGTAAAATTTCCCCATAAATAAAAGAGGAGAGGAGACATGGGGAAATGCATGCAGACTCTGGCCTTCACATTTTATTTTTTTTTAGTTTACAAATCCAACATTTTTCTTTAAATTAAATTTAATTTACCAAATTAAAAAAAAAATAAAAATCAATCTACCAAAAAGCAAACAAACCTGCTCAGAACCACTTTTTACACCCATTTTCTGCCCTTCATTTTCCATATAACTGCTTCCCCTTCTCTCTATTGGAACAAGTTTTAAGGATTTTCTGCCTTTCACTACTATAAAGCAGGTCTTAGCTGTGTATAAATGATGGCAACTGAGGTTTGCAAAAATCCACGTTTTAAGGCTTGAAAAATATCATTACACATGTATTCATAGATGGTGAAGATCTCAACTTCGAGATATACTCAGGACTACTCCTTATTTTATGTGCTCTCTTTGACCCCTGAAGGAGGGGAAAAAAGATGTCCATTCAAGAACCCAAATATCAAACCCCCAAATAATATCATTTAAGTGCAAAAGTTGGCTGAATGCATCCTAATAAGAAAAAGAAAAATATTTACTTACTTAAATAAAATTAATTCTGCTCTCTGCAATGCTCAAAGATCCACATTTCAAGATAGGGGCTCCAGGTTTGATTTTACTTACAGGAATAAATATTCCATGGACATCAATGAATTAACTGGTGGCAGCACATCAGAGTTTGGCTACCTGAAGAAGCTGACCTAGTACAAAACTCATCTCTGGACCTCCCAAAGAGACTCCAGAGTCCTGGGGTTGACACTCAAGTTCCCAGTCAAGCACACCTGATATTCTTGCTCAGTATCTATTAATCCTGCTGTTTTCCAAGTCTGGAAAAACATATTAAAATAGAGCCAAAAAAAAAAAAAAAATCAACAGGGAAGAAAGTTAGATCAACTGTTTTACAGCCCTTAACTTTTAGATTTGCATCAAATCCTGTGTTATTTTATGCAAGCTGGTTTGCCAACACTAGCCAGGATGAGTCAGAGCCTCAAATCCGAAGTTTTCCTGCACTTTGAGGAAGCTCAGATATGAATTTCAGACCTACTTGTAGCTATTAGCCTTAAATTACTGTTCACAAATTACAAACTGACTTCCCAGAGGCATCCAAGACGTGTTGCAGGACCCAGGAGATGAGCATGACAGAGTTCCTTGATGAGGATAATATTTCCTATAAACTGTGGTTTTTCCACCACAAAAAGCCTTTCCTGAAAGCTTTTCCTGTGTTTGTTTTTTATCTTGCAAAGCTCTTGAAAGCTTTTCCTGCATTTGTTTTTCATCTTCCAAAGCACCAGAGCATCAGCATTGCCAACCTGGATCAAAAATGGGTTGAATTCATAACTTCATTTCAGGGCTAAATCCACAGTTGCTCTACCAGAGGTCCAAAACCTTGATCTGTATCACCAGGCCTCCAACAGAAGGATTTCTTTGGTCAAAGAGCTTCCAAGGATGCTGCCTGCCATGCTCAACACCCAAGAGCCCTGGATTTGTTCAAAACCTACATACTACTGGGACAAACAGCAGGGATTCAGCCAAGCCTTCAGCAGAAACCCAGGATCCAGGGACCACAGAGAGAGAATCTGTTCTTACCATCATATCTGTCACTGTCTGTTAAGTCAAGATAAACATTCCCCTCTGAATGTTTGGAAGAGCTGGTGGTGTAAGAGGACTACAAGAGCAGAGGAGGGAAGTCAACTCTCACTGGGTTTTGCTTTTGCTTCATTCAGCTCCAGAGAGGGATGCCAAGGGCTGTATTTGCAGCCACTGCTTGACTTTGTTATGATTTCACACAAAGAATATCAGGAACAGCCTTTTCCCAGGAAAAACACTGAAGCACAAAGGAGCACTTACCCTCCTTGATTTCCAATAGGAGGCCTGGAGGTTCTTTTTCCCCTCAGAAGTTAATTACTTACTTCTGGAAATCCTAACTGCCTCCACAACAAAGCAGGAAGGTGAGATTTTGCTCCAGGGGGTCACTCATTCAAGTATGAGTATCCAAATCAGACAGGACAGGATGTAAAAACTGACCCCAGCCAAGCCCTCTGCCAATGCCTGGGCTGGCACCGATGTTGGACTCATGGAGAACATCCCAGTTCCCTGGATCACAGGAAATCAAGCTTTCCTAAGCTATTTGGTCTTTCATACAGACAAATATGGAAGTGAGGACAGGACTGTAACAGCTGGAAGCTTGGCCACATTTCCATGGCAAAATAATTCCTTCCCACCCAGGAAAATCAGATCTATGACTGCAGGTCCCAGTCTGAGGATATGTCACAGCAGCTTATCATCTTGCTAAGCATGATGGCTTTAAAAAAAAAGAAAAAGTACATCCAAATACAGCTGGTGGTTAACCCTGGTCCCGTTGCCAGTTTTACACAGCCAGGTTTAAACACTTGGAGCTTCCACAGGGACAATTCACTGCTCTCAAAGGGAATGATGGATGGATCAACTACCTTTCTCTACAACACTGGGGGAACCTGTCAGCTCAAGGGTCAATGGAAACCTGATTTTGCACCCACACACCAGGCAGAAACTGCACTTGCTGTGCTTTAGCAAAGGTCTGCTATCAGTGCAGTGCTGATTTACACCCTGTCAAACAGCTCCTTCAGCTTCTGGGTGAAGAGGAGAGGTTTGTGCCAAGAGGGTCACAACCACAGCAACATATCCATTGCCTAGTTTTCCTGGGCTTCTATTGCTATGACTGACAGCAAATAACAGGCACAGGGCCCTTGACATTTCTGGCTGTTACTAACCTGGCACTCTGGCTAAAGAGAAGGGAAATCCTCTTGATTTACACATGGAGAGCAGGGTCTTGCTTTCACAGAGAGATTTTCTTTTCTTTTTTTCTCCCCTGGAAAAGCCTCCCACTCAAGGGCAAGCTCCCAACATCACTTCCAGCTTGCACAATGCTCACTGCAACAGCCCTTCCCAATGACAGGGTGTCAGCCCTGGTGTCCAACCCCACACCTGTGGGCAGGGGACTCCACACAAGGATTCCTCAGGATATATAGCATTTCATCTGGAATTTAACAGCATCCAACCAGGAGATCATGTGTGCCCCACCAGCTGCTAAGAGGAGGACACTGCAGGGATAGAGACTGAGCAGTCAATTCATTTCTAGATGGAATAACATATGTTGCAACACATTCAGATAAAGATTTTAACATGACTTGGCAACTCAGGGTGACAGATTAATTCCAGGCAGCTCCCAGTGTGAGTAGTCATTGGGCAACACACCAAAGATCAATCCTCACAGTTTACACCCTGGTGTTCACAGAAGGTCCAAAGCCATCCATTAAGTATTGTTCAGAGTGGAGCAAAAGGTGGCAGAGGTTACTGGAGGGAGGCCCCACATGCAGTTTCAGGTTTTGACCCCATAATTTGGTAACATCATTAGGAATTACCTCCAGGTCCCCCTTTGTAATGGATTCTTCCTCCACACGGAACTGCAAGTCCTCCACTTTCCTGGGGAGAGGAAGAGACACAAAGAGCAATCAGGAACACCCAGACCAGCACCCTCTGTCTAAGCAGCCACACACATGGGGCCTCTTCACTATGACCCTTACTCAAGTTTTATGGATTGGTGGGACACGGCATCAATGGAGAGATCATTACAAACAAATGGAAAAGCTGCCCAAAAGCTACTGGTAAGACTTTTTGTGTTCTAGGAAAAAAACCAAAAGCAACAACATCATGGTCTGCAGAACCAAAGTCTGAGAGGAGAGGGAGACAGACCACCTTTGGATACAAACAGCTCAGCAGAAACTGAGCTGCAAGATCCATGGAGCAGGACAAGCTTTCCACACAGCAAACACTGGCCTTCTTGCAAGGTACATCCTCCCAGACACACACAGCTACTGTTCTCTGACACTGGGATCCTGAAAACATGCAAACCACAGCCAAGTGTCACTGCTTTATTTAAACCTTGTTATCCTCCAGCTGAGCACTGGGCAATTCCTGTGCCAAATGCATGGGGTCCATACAAAGTATTCCAAGGGAATTGGAACCTCTGACTCCTTGGCAGAGGGTGGGCAGTGCTTAGTGTTTCCACAACGTGGAAACTGTGAGTTACCCTGGCAGAAAAGCCTTCCCCACAGACTGTACAGGCCAGTCATGGATAAATGCACATGGAACCACAAGCACAAACACAGGCATGCCGAGGACTCTTCTCTTTTGGAAGAGAGAACCCAGTAACAATACAAAATAATTCAATTTTCTGCTAAACTCAGCCCTCTTTGTTCTCTTTACTGATTAAAAAAAAAAAGGCAATAATGAGGATGTTGAGCTGGTAGCCAGATGTAAGGACTCTGATTCTGTTACAGATAAAAATAGCTGTGAGTGTACATATCTAACTTCATAAACAAGCTTCCTTGTCTAAACCTCCTTCTAATTAGAGGAGGCATCTGTTGATATTTAGGGAAAAACTCAGCTGTCTTGGGTTAAAGGGCCTCCTGGAGCTGGGAAAGCGAGCTGCCTACCAGAAGAAGAGGGAGACTTATGCACAAAAGAACAATTCATCCTCAGGAGGGGCATCAGTCAATTGAAACCAACACTGTTTTCAGTTATCTAATGCACAGAAATGTCTTTCTATTCCCACTGAAGAGTTTAATTATATATATGGAGAAATTGGACTCCATATATACAAGGACAAGCTGATCACTCTTACCCAGAGAGGAAATGCATCATCATATACACATGGATGGAGCCTCTGGGATGTGGGGAGAGGGTGAATCACACCACAGTAAGGCTGTACTCCAGTTTGGCTTCCCTTCCTCAGCAGGAATGTCCTCAAGATCAGCACATCACAAACAAAGGGGAAGGTTGTACAGAGGGGTCTGCAATGGCCCAGCCTGCACAGGCCTGTTTATGATCCAACACTTACTTTATACTCTATCCTCAGCCAGAACCACCTGTAACCTTTGTCACTGCCCATACACGACTCCACCTCCCTCACCACACTCCTGCTCTACCTCTTCTCCTCTTCCAGCTGGTTCAACAGCTCAATCTTCTCCTTCTGCATCCCATCCACCAAGGCTCGTGCTCGCTGGAGGTTTCCCTCTGCCTCTGTGACATACTGCAGCAAAACAAGAGCCCAAGCACAAAAGTCACCAATGTTTGAAGTACAGGGTTGTTTAAAAAAAAGGATCAGAACAAGGGAACAGAGAGTTCTGATGATCTGTTTCAAAGGACACTGTGGTAAGAGGGCAGATTTTCCAAAGAGCACAGGATGTGGGTATCAGGAAGACAAAAATTGCTCAGTCTCCAGCAGCTGTAAGTTTGGTCCACACTTCAGTGCCCCTCTGACTTGAGCCCTTTGGAGAATCCAGCTCTGAGTCAAGAACTTGAAGCCTGAACAGTTTTGAAAATCTAGTCAGAGCTTATCTGGTCACGAAATAAGAAACATTTCAGATTGCTGTTAATTCATTTGTTACTGATAATTACTGGGAAACACCACACACAAGAAAGCCATCAGCTTGCAGTTGATTTCCAAACTTCTCCTGCATTTTGGACAGGTAGGTGTGACCTGCCACACACATACAGTGCCATCCCTGCTCCTAGGTAGCTGACTGGGCTTTATAAGCATAAGGAAGTCATTTAGGACACCAACAGTCACTGAAGATCTACACTGACAAACAGCACAAGCAACTCCTCTCCTTAAGCATTCAAAGTGCCCTTTGTACAAATGCTCATTAAAAAAACCCAAAACAACCTAAATATGATCAGCCTTTTTTCCTTCCAGATCTCCTGACTTTATTAATGTGATAAAAACATTCTCTCTGGCAGGAAAGCTGTGGCATATGAATTGAGCTGATGTTCTCAGCACCACAAAAATCACTGCAATGCAGTCACAGCCACGGCCAAACTGGGTAGCTGAGGGGAACAAATTTACTCTCCACTTGCATTTCAGCATTGAAATGTATTGATCCTCCAGACACAAACTATCTACTGCCTTTTATCTGGCACAGACAGCCCTTTTCCTGCTCCTGGCTCGGGGCAGAGAGAGCACATGTGACACTGGGAGAATGGAGAAAGAGCCTCAGCTTAACTCACCACATCCAAATTAGAAATTCAGAGCCCAAGTTTCACGTACAGGGGTAATGTTACGACCTGAAACTTTCAGGGGATATCAAATACTCAGATATTTGAGAGCTAGTGATAAAGCCACATCACCTCCTACCTGCTCGTGCTGGGCCTTCATGATGGCAATCTCCTTCTCCACCTCACAGATGTGGCTGGTGGCTTTGGCCACCTCTGCCCGCTCCAGGTCACGCTCTGCCAGCAGCTGCTCAATGTGCTGCTGCTTCTCCTTCAGTGCCTCCTGCAGAGCTGTGGTGCCAGAGATTTTTCGGGCGTATCGAGAAGAGGTCTCTGTCAGCTGGAAAAAGAGTTAAAAAGAGATGGGGTAAAGCCATGTCCTCCCCAGCCCAGAACAGCTGAAGTCCCCTGTTAAATCTGCTCACCTAAGGATCGTTTATTCAGCTGTACAGAGCTGCAGTTGCAGCTCTGGACCACACAGGTGAGGTTAAGTCTGTGAAGCACCTGGACAATGCTCACAAAAGCTCTGCAGTTCCTCTGCACTGCAATGAAAGGACCATTTCCAAAAGTACAGGATGTGGGATGTGAATTGGGTCAGGAAAGATTATCATGCATTGTATCATCTGCCTTCTTAAATACATTTTATTGGTGACCTGCACTGGTGAAGTCCCAAAAAGTGAGCTCAGTTGGGCAGAATAATCTCAACTGGAAACCAGATCCACTCCCCAGAGTGACACTGCACCCTCGTCCCCAGCCAAGTGGACTGCAGGTGCTCTGCAGCACATACTATGACAGAGCCAGAGCTTTTAATAATATTGCTGCCTGCTCTGCTGTCCCCCTGCTTGAGCACCTGCCAAAGCCCCAGGCATGTGATCCAGGACAGCGTCACCCTCCAGTCACTGCAGGAGCTTTGCACAGCTGGCCACTGCAGAGCACACTGCTCATAACCCTGTGGGACTGAAACAGTGGCCTTTTTCTGCAGGGATCCCTCATAAACCTGCCCTGGACAGCAGAGCCCAGACTATCACACTGCAAAATCACATTTCAGCCTCTTTAACAGTCACAATCGCTCCGTGTCTGTTACAACTCCTGTGTCCACGGAGGGAAACCACCTGTAAAGTGGGTAAAAACATCCCACACTCCACTCCTCCCACCTCACTGAAGGAAGAGCTGCTGAAAGAAAACCCCAAGTGCTTTGTGGAGCCTGGTCACAGGTGTGGATGGAGGCTGCCCAGCCCGTGGAAGGAGCCACTCACCAGCCCACTGCGGCTGGGCCTGCCCCCGACCGACGAGGCCACGGAGCTGACGGAGCTGATGGAGGAGCTGCTGGGGCTGTGGGTCAGGGCTGACACTCCCATGGCCATCCTCTTGCTCTTCTTTGCCTTGGCAGGGCTGGTGGATGGGAACCCAATCCGGATCACCTTGTGGATGGGAGCAAAGAGGCCAAACTTGGGAGGGCACTGAAAATACCTGGAAAACAGGAGATGCACCAAGTCACGAGTGGCAGAGCATCCATCTCGCCCAAGCCTTGCAGAATGGCACTGCCAAGCAGTACAAATCCCTCAGCTCATCTCTGGGTGCTTTGCTGTGACATTGTTTCCTGTGTGCAAGTGGTTGGATTATTTCCCCTTTCCTGTACTTGCTGTACTGGCAATCTCCTTGTTTTCATTTGTGGTGCTTTAGCAGGGAATCCCGAGATAATTGCCACGCACTAGTTGCTGTGCACTTTGATGAGATGCCAGGAAAGACCCATCTGGTAGCCTGGAGAGCACAAACATCCCAGAACATAAGCACAGCCAGAGGATTGCTTCCCTACAGTCCAACCTTCCCAACAAACCAACCCTCCCAAAACCTGCGTGTTCTCTCTACCCTGCTTTGAAGAAAGTCAGGTAGTAAAGTGTGTCTGAAAGGAGGTGTCAGAGGCTGGACCAGGCTGTGCTTGGGGGCACCCAGCAATGGGACAAGAGGCCATGGGCAGAAAATGATGCCCAGAAATTTCCACCTGAACATGAGGAAGAACTCCTTCCCTGGGCAGTGACCAAGCACTGAACAGGCTGCCCAGAGAGGGTGTGGAGTCTCCCTTGCTGCAGATATTCCAGAACTGTTTGGACACATTCCTGTGTCATGTGCTCTGAGATGACCCTTCCTGAGGTGGGAGACTCTTCTCAGAGAACCCACTGTGGTCCCTTCCAACCTGAACCATTCTGGCATTTTGTGTTTAATTAAAAAGTCTGAATCACACAGCACTGAATAAATGTTATACAAGGTAAAAAACTTCCCTACTGAAACAGAAGGGGGAAGTGGCAGCTCCTAACTGTGAAGGTAAAAATACCATTACAGCAAATTCCAGTGTGTGACACCTCCTCTGGGTGGCAGAGAAACTGGTTCCCATGCAAACAAACTTAGAAAGATGCAAGCATAAAAGATGGAGAATCAGGAAGAATCGGATAACTACAGTGCAAGCTCTCTTCCACAACTGCAGTGATCCCAATGATTGTGACTCTCCAGAGCCCTCTTCCAGAATAAAAATGAGCCAAAACACAGTGTCAAACCCTGGAAACCCCTTCAGGGCTCGGGCTGGCTGGAACAAGCCAGAGTTCATCTGTTGCTGGCCACCTGCACTGCAGCAAGGAAAACCAGATCATGTCCAGCATCACATCCCCTTGTTTCAGGAGAGCAGCCAACACTGAAAGCTCTCTCTGTAAGAGCTCTTTCTCACAGGCTTCACAGCAAGGCTAGGACTAAACACTGGGTCATAAAACAGCCTGTCCTATGTTAACATAAAAAACAGGTTCTAATGACTAAATGACACAAATCCAGCTTTACTAGCACAAGTCCTCCCTCTCCAGATGTGAGCAGCTGTTTCTCTAATTCCCTTTTATTTTTAAGTGCTGGCAGCCATACAGCTGTGTCACAGGCAGACCCCTGTGTACTTGGGAGGCCAGGGAACAGCCTGATCTCCAGCCAGATGAAAATAAAATTCATTTTCAAACATCTGCTCAAACCCATTTTTTTTTCCCTATAACAAACTTTAAACAACCACTCTACAATCCCAAATCTCTCAGCCTCTTCAGCTTGCTGCCAACACAGGCCTTTGGGTTTGGAAAACCAGTCACACCACAGGCTGACCTCTTACAAACCAGCCAAGCCTTGCTCAGCATCATATTCTCAAACTCCAGTAGGCGCAGGCAGGCAACAGCCCCTTCCACAGGTCTGCCTGGTGTAAGCACAGGCTGGTGCTACACAATGGTGTCAAAGGCACTTCAAAAGCCCCTTGACAGCTCTTTGCAAGCCCAAACTTGCTTCATTACATCTGCTCATTTTCTTTCAGTCCAGATTGGAAGTGGTTGCAATTAACTTTTACAGTTCAGAAGCAGGAATTGGGTCCAGAACACTTGGCAGAAAAAAAAAAAATCTACTTGAAAACTAAGTTTTCTGGAGCTGAGGAGCTCCAGACTCGCATTACAGAGAGGAAACAGGGGAAAAAAAGTGATGTTGTGATGGCAGTGCAAAACTGCAGGTGGGAAACAGTACAGGAAATTTTGAAATAGATGAAAAAAGGCTTCAGTGTCCAAGGCTGACATGTCACAGACTATGCAAAAGCAAAGTTCTGAGCAGTTTAGTGGGCAAAGGCTCCTAAGAGAGCAGAGCAGAGAAGGAAGAACAGCAAAATAAGCAGGCAAAGGATAGTACACTAAAGATGAGTACATGGAACTTGCTTGGCTTTGTGGATAAGAAACAGCCAAACCACACCAGCACCTCTGTAGTCTCCTGTGCAGACAGGAAAGCAGATGCAGCAAATCTCAGTGCAAATCAGCACCCATGTGATGTACAGAGGGGCTCCCCACAGTGATGCCCTGTCCTCTGGGGCACTGCTACTGACCCACAGCCTGCAGGCAGCCTCCAGCTCCCTTCAGCCTTCCCTCGCTGCACATCCAGACCTGGACCTGCAGCAAAATCAAGTGACCTGCCACAAATTTCAGCCAATTCACCACCAACTCAACTGGACTTGCCCAGGGCAGCAAAGACGGTGACAATGCTCTTTGCTCCCTCGTGCCTCTCCTGCTTCCACCCCTGTCCAGTGCCTCGAGTCAGCTCTGAGCTCCACTCTCCTTTTGCAGCAGTGCTGGCCTCGGGCAGCCAGGCCAGGGTTGCTCACTAGATGGCAACCACCACCAAAGCACTGACTCCAGAGTCCTGGACAGCCCCTGCCCACACTGATCCTGGCAGGACAAGCTCAGGGCAGCGTCAAGAATTCCACGTGGCCGCAGCAAACATGGGGAATGCTGACTGAGGAGTGCCTGCAGGCACCAAACATGGGGAATGCTGACTGAGGAGTGCCTGCAGGCACCAAACATGGGGAATGCTGACTGAGGAGTGCCTGCAGGCACCAAGGGAGTTGGTTTTACCATGTTGGCTTCTCCAAAGCACTGCCATAAGGAAATCAGAGGGCTGGATGAAGGCTCAAAGGACAAATAGGGACAATGCTGCAAACCTGCTCTTAACAGTGAGAGGCAAAGGAGAAGCCTTTGCACACAGGGCACAACCCAAAACAACCTCAGCCAAGATGCTGCAGTTTCAGAAGACAGATGACTTCCAAAAGTTGAATTTTCAAACTACAGCAATGGGGTGTGAGGATGAGAGGCACAGAGAGCACCCCTGCACTCAGATCTGCCTTTCACACCTTCCACATGCACAGAGACCATAAATCATTTCTGAGCACCCTGAAGATGAAACTTAGAGATAATTTGAAGCGTCTGATAAAGAAAGCAGGGACTTGGATTCACTCCATGATTTATTCTCTACCATCCTGGTTCTTCTTTTTTGAGAACAGGCTGGAACTCTGCCATCTGCTGCCACTCATTTACTGCTGTCTTGCCCTGACATTGAACAAGGCAGCATTTCTCTTAATTAAAATGAAAGCACATGGCTGCTGGACAAGACACAAGAAACCTTTATTACAGAACCTGAGATGTAACAAGGCAGGAACTCCCAGCTCCTCAGTTTCAAAGTTAAATCTCTCCTCTTAAGCCAGATTGCCTTAAGAAGCTCCAAGAAAACCAACAGTATTTCCCACTGAAGGAAGTTGTGAAGGACAAGGAATCAGTTCCACCTGCATTTGAAGCAGAGCCAAAGTGCTGCTGCATAACTTGTATTTGAACATCCCCAAGCTCAAGATCTGATGCTGGGGTCATTCCCTTAACTAAATTCAACAGGAACAGAAACAGCTTCCCAATAAGTCTGCAAGATGTCCCTACCTAGTTTTATAGGTACTTAGAAGGGCCTTTTTAGGAAAAGAAGATAGTGGAGGTGCCTGTGGAGTCAGAGGTGGTAAGATCAATCAGTAGACAACTGTCACATTATAGAATTAGCACAGGGACAGAAAACAACTACCAATTGTTCTTTCAGATCTCTGGAATTTATCCTGTGAAAGAACAGAATAAAACAATATTAAGCTGAGGAGAAAAGAGTCAAATCTGTGTCTTCTACAGTTCTGACAGGGTGAATTATAAATATAGCAGAAGAAAAAAGTTTATGGGAGGACACGTGTGGGAGAAAGCAGAGCTAATATAATCACAGAATCAATTTCCAGCAAAAACTAAATCCCACTGTAAGTTGTCTTCTCTCCTTACTCTCTCCTGTTTCCTGAAGCTACTCAGGTTCCTTTTCACAGATGTTATCTGATTGTGCTTTAAAATGCCCCAGCAATGAGGTTTGTATTGATCTCCCTGCAAGGCCACCCCAAAGCCTAAAAGGCTCAAAATTGGGCTCTCCCTCCCAGCCCACAATGTCCAAGCAAGCACAGCCCTAGCTCTCCTCCCAGCTCCGAGGGCACTTGTTCCCAGCCACCCCAGGAGGTGTGTGGGACCCTCCCTGCCCCAGGCTGGGCTTCAGAGCACACAGTACCTTGTACCAGCCACGGCCCCGTCGTTCTTGCCCAGGGGCTCATCCAGCTCCACACCACACCACTCCCCCTTGGCAAAATCCGTCTCTCCCACGTAGCGAACGACTCCCGTCTTCGTCCCACCGACCTGTCGGAGACAAGGAGCTGAGGGTTAGAGCGTGGACAGCAGGGGACTGAAGCTGGGACAAGCATGGAGGAAGGAGGGCAGGACATCAGTATTTTCTGTTTCAGATCTAATGAAAGCAGCAGATAGTTCTCACACCAAGTTCTCCCAGCACTAAAGTTGTCTCTCCGATAACTGCAAGCAAATTGATGAGCTCCCACTTCTGGGACTGCCTGCCTGGAGGATGTCAGAGCAAACAGAATGAAAACATATTTCAAGGCGTCAACTGATTGCAGCAAGTTACTTGTGAGGCCAGGAAGGAGTTTAAGCCCTGCAGGCACAGCTCATACCTGCCTTGTGTGAAGAACCACGACCTGCACTGACAGGTTTTCAGCCCTGTGCTCTTCCAGGTGCCAGTTCTGGGCACTGCTGGGATGGGACAGCTGAGCCAGGAAGGCACTCATTGCTCCTTTAGCTTGCTCCCACACAGGGTTTGCTAAGGATGTAGGGAACTGCTCAAAATAGAGCAGAAAAAGCCTCCACTTTTACCTACACCCTACAGCAGTTCCCACCAAGATGCACGGCAGAGGGGCTCAGCTCCCTGCCAGGCTTCCTCCAGCACAGGTTTTTTTCCCCCTCCACGGAAAATTAGGAATAAATCACACCTTTTCCTCCCATGTGTATGATTAAAGTCTCCAGCGTGCTGAGTAGATTCGAGAAGGGCACAAGTCAGGAACCTTCAGAGCTGTGTTTTGATCACTGCTCTGAGAGCACATGGCACTGAGCAGCAGCTGCCTCTGCCTTTGCACTAAACACCCCTACTTAGACACTTGGGATGAGAAAAAGAAGATGGAAAAAGCAGGAGGGTGGTTCTAAAGGTTCCTACTTCTAGTAAATCAGCATATGATCTAAACCTTTTTTAGCCCATCTCTGCCAGAGCCTAGGTTCAAGGAAGAAAGCTTAAAAATACGTTTAAAATTCAATTTGCCACTTCATCCTGAATGACTTGCAGTTAATAATTTTCTTAATAATAAATTTAACATCAACAGGTATCAAAAGAGTAATATTCTCCTACAGAAAACAGTGAGAGTCAAATGCAGAAATCTCCAGCTTTGTTAATCCCAGGGCAGGGTTGTTAGATTTACCAACTGTGAATCCCTAAAAGTTGCTTATGCAAAGGAAAGAGAGTTTTCCCAGGCTAAAAATAACTGCACCTTAATGGACTAACCAGCACAGCTCTGAAGTCTGGGTCCTACCTCAAGTCCTGAGAGGCTGCAGCGTGCAGCTTGAGTTAGTCTGGAATTTCTCTCACTAGGGATTCAGAATGCTGCTGCTTATGGAAAAAAAACCCCTTGATGATGTTGTTCTCTTTGCTATATAATAGAGAAAAATATTTGCCAGCAGGAAAAGGATCACAAGGAAGCTTTCTGGTCCTACACTGTGCCCAGGGTAAAAAGTTGACTCAATTTCAGCATTGGGCACTTGGCAAGTTATTGATTTGAACAGTGGAATTCTTTACCAATCACTCACAGTCAAATGCCAGTCCCCTTTTTGATTGCCTTGAGTTTATACAGATGTAGCCCCTTAATATTAATGCGGTGATTTAATGTCATTCTAATACATTTCTTTAGCTGCAAGTTGAACTCAATATAGGTGTCATTAATCTTAATGTCATTTATAAGAACCTACCATTGCTGGTGAGCCCCCTCAATTTTATTTTTACTGAGTCTTAATTCCAGATATTGAGTCATGTTTCCTTTACCAAGCCAGAGGATCCCCACAGTCTCATGTAAACCTTATGAACCTTATGAGTCCCTCCATCAGTGTGACTGGGGCATCTACTGGGGGGGGTGTCACACTCCTCTGCCCACACAAAGGACCACTCAGTTATGTCCTCATCAATACTATTTGAGGAAACTGTTTCCATACAGGAGAGTAAAAACCTATCCCTATTGACCTGATAAACACATTATCTGATTATACCAACACCAAAACTGTGCAGTGAGAGGGCAGGTCACACTCCCATCTGAAAGCTCCACATCAGCCAAGGCTCTAAGTGCAGCTCAGGTCCAACACTCCCCCAAACAGCCACGTGATTCTCTGCTTCCAGAGCAACTCATTCTACTTTCTCTGTCAAGCATTAATTATTCTGCCATCCTCTCTACAAAACACACCCCTGCCACACAGCAACACGTTCCGCCCCAAGCCAGGACGGACACATCTGCTCTGCGACAGCCTGGGCTCCCCACAGAGCCAATATCAGGCTGTCACATGTGTCAGCACTGAACCCTCTTGTTGAGTTTCCCATCTTTTGGCAGGCAGGCAGAAACTCTGATGGATGGAGAGCCCAGAAAATTCATCCGACTCCGACGTGCAGATAATCTGCTAATGCCGCTAAAATAAGTGATGTTTTTTGGAAGAAGCCAGCTGGCAGGTTGTGTGTGGAATGGACTCATCAGAACAGAACATTTGCTTCTATCAGAACCTTCAGTAAATCAGAGGTATCACCCTGGGAGAGGGTACAAGGCCGGGAGGTTAGCCATGGCAGGGCATAACTCATGGGAGCACACAGCCATCCCTCCTGCCCATGCCTGGCTTGGATACCACTATCCACAACCCAGGTGTGAACAGCAGCCAACCATGCTTGGCTGCTATGGCATTAACACAACAGCCACCATCAAGCTGCAGATCAGAGGATTTCCTCCCAGAACATCCCAGATTTTCTCTGTGGAGAACTTGTCTGCATCTTTCAACCTGGCACATTAATCAGTCACAGCCACATCTTCAACGTGCCAAGTGTCCAGAGTGAGGCAAGGACAAACTGGAGAGGGCAACCCACCCCTTTGTTCAAGCCCAACACAGCACAGAATTAACATCCATCTCAGTTCAGACACATCATGGCTTTTAGAGTTGACAAGTTTTGCTCAAAAAGGAACAAAACTCCCAAAGCTTTTCTGAGACGCCTTCAATAGTTACCTTACTAAAACCATTGCTGAGATTATTCATGCCCAAGAGAATGGGATTTTACCAAATGTAAAGTGTTAACAGGTTTTTTTGGGAAAAAAAAAACAAACTCAAACCAAATAACTAACAATAACAAAAATAAACCAAAAAGCAGCTAAAAATAGCTCTTTCTTGAAGCTCAAACAAATGGAAACAATACTGACACAGTAAAATTAGATTTGTTTGTTTGTTTTGGGGAGTATTTTGACCAGCATCAACATTCCAGGTTTCTCCACTTCAGGTAAAAACACTTCTGATTAACTTTAAACAAGCTTGTAGTGGCCCATCCTCTCCAGCTGGATTTGAGCAGCCTTGGAGCCACACTCCTCTGAGTTCTTGGAATGCTCAAATCAAAGACCATCTTCCTGACTTGTCCCTTTCTCAATGAAACATCCAGTAGTCTCAAAAGACAGTTTTGGGCTTGACCTTCACAAGAAAATGAAGTCAGGAGTATTTAGCAGGTCTGAGTCTTAACTGGTGAGTCAGAACAGCACCGAGCACTCATGGGAGGACATCCTGCCAATTGTACTATCACTAACATCACGTTTTACACTGTGCTCCTCTCATCGAAATGACAAAATTGGATCCAGACCAGTATCCCAGGGCTGAAAAGACAATGATGTTAATCCTTCCAGTCACTGCCTTCATCGGAGCTGCAAATACATAATTTGAACTGTTTACCAAATTAGCAGCAGGCCATGTCTCAGTCTGGCTGCTGTGAGCCAGGCCCCTCCAGCCTGTGTTTGCCCTTTTCTCCTCACGGACTCCTTGCTCACCCCACAGCAGCTTCTTGCTCCCAGCAAGAACCTCTTGGGAGCTGCCCTCACCCCAAGGCCTGTGGGCAACTCTCTGCTTCAACACCCTCCAATACTGCTCAGTGAGAACAGAAACACAAAGTTCTCTGTATCATTCAGGCCAGCAGGGACTGTCCCCCACCACGTCATGCGTGCTCAGGGGTCAGCAGTGGCTGAGGCGCCTGCCTGAGCACATCCCCACAGAGATGATGTTTGCTCCCTGCTTAAAATTCTGGTTTGCCCCTTGGAAGTTATTTCCAAAGCATTTCCACAAGACAGTGCTGCTGAGCAGAGGGTGGAGGTGGGAACACTGAGTGCCTGGCACATGGACATGCCTTCCCTGCAGGGCTCCTGCCCCGAGCCCTGGCAGAGCTGGGAGACTCTCCCACTGCTCACCTGTGGGAAGAGAAAGGAAGGGGATGAGGGGAAAGGGCAGACACAGGACACTTGCTTTTTACCCTTTCGACCTTCAACTACTTCCCACGTGCAGCACATCAGCTTATTCCACCCTGTTATTGGATGATACCAACAAGAACTTGGAAATCCCCTTCACTGGACAAGTGCTGCTTGCTCCAGTTTGAGCTGTACCTGCAGGTTGTATCCAGCTTGTAAACTGGAGCAGCCATCCTTTCCCTTGAGGATAAATGGAGGGGTTTTTCCTCCTCCCCTACACTCATCCACTCAGACAAGGAGCCTATTTCTAGCCCAACCTGAGAGAGGCAGGAGTAGTGTTTTCCCACCACACATAATTTAGGTCTTCCAAAGGCACTGATGGCAGAAAATTACTGTATAACACTTGATTTACAGAGGGTGATTTTGGCAGCAGCACAGGGATGTGGGTCCAGCCATTACAGATCACCTGAAATAATGACCTGTAAATACAAGGAGGTAAATGCACACACCTATGGGAAATGTGGCCATCACTTACTGGGGCCAGTGTTCAGGAGCTGGTGGGAAGCTGGAGGTGTAGCTTGTGGTCAGGTTTACCTATAAATACAACTTACTTCAGGTGCCATCCAACCATCAGCAGCAGTTTCATCTGATCAGATAAACACCATGTCACCTGGGAGCACCAGAACTGGCTTTTAGGGTGAGGGGAGAGACAGACAGCCACGAATTACAGGCCAGCCCTCCGTGTGTGAAGCTACAGGAATTTTTATAGTTTCTTTTAATCCAACCACTTATCTCTGTGCCTTCCCATCCCCACAGCACAAGTCAGCATTGCACAGTGATGAGTCTGACAGCCCTGCTGATGCAAGACATTGCTGTGCATTTATCTGTCAGGCACCAGCGAGAAAATACTGTCCTAGGGAGGTGGTGTAAGAGGAAAGCCTGGAATTACGGCATCCCCTCCTGGGGCTGTCTTGGATACAAAGTCCACCCACATTAATAACACAGTTTGCTCCACCACAGGCCACTTACAGCTCCTATTTAATGACAGACATTGCACTCAGCAGACAAGGTCCAGGCGATGCCTCAGCCCAAATGAATGGTTAGGAGGGTGTGTGCACAAAGAGCCTCAAAGGGTTCATGTGGCCACAGGGCAGGGCAGTCGCTCTGGGCTATTTATTTCCCTCTTTGTTTCACTGCAGTCCCAGGAAATCACAAAAACACAGGATGGTTTGGGTTGGAAGGGACCTTAAAGCTCATCTCGTTCCACCCCCTGCCATGGGCAGGGACACCTTCCACTAACCCAGGTTGCTCCAAGTCCCACCCAACCTGCTCTTGGGACACTTCCAGGGATGGGGCAGCCACAGCTTCTGAGAAACCTGTGCCAGGGCCTCACCACCCTCACAGGGAAGAATCTTTTCCTGATATCTAACCTAAACTCTGTCAGTTTGAATCCATTCCCCCTTGTCCTGTCACTACACACTCTTCAGCAACTGCCTCCTATAGCAAGGAAAGAGCTCCAGCCAGGAGTCCTAAATGGTTTCCTGTCTCTTGAATCCTGCAAACAACCAGAACACTGCACTTCCCACTGCTTGTCACAGACCTCCACAGGGACAGAGATCCCACACTCCCATGCAAGGTCTGAGGCTCTGTTGTACTGCTACACTCTCTGGTCATGACACAGCAGATGATGGTCTCCTTATGGATGGAGCTGCAAGCAGGCAATGGAACACTTAAAAACACCTTTCCTGAAAAATCCTGCCTTGGCAGAGCTACAGAATAGGGTCATTCTTTCTTTACTGCCTGGTTTGCAATAAAGGAATATGTCTGGTGGTTGTTTGTGAAGTGCACACAGGAGCATTGCTGCACCTCTGAGACCCTGCAAACTGGGAGAGTTCCAATGGTTAATGAGGAAAAACAGGGCAGGAATCCTTCCTTCATGACACCTCACATGCCTTCACAGCAGCTATGCTTTTGTCTCAGCCACTGAAACAGCTCAGAGAGCTTGTGGCAGCAAAGCAAGGAGCTGTCTCTGCCCAAGGAGAAGGGGTTAGGTTGGAATTCTCCTGGCCAGGGAGTTTCTCATGAAATGGTTTCTCATGCAGGTGGTTAAAGGCTTTCTGCAGCTCTGGGCTGGCCAAGCAGGGCTGGGACAGGAGTGTGCAGGGGGGATGCTGAAGAAAGGACATGATTAGTTTATCCCGGCCCTTAAACAGCCTTGTTTATCACTACATTTTTGTACTGAAGAGTACAATCCTAATTAGGAGACAGAAGGATGGCTGAAGGGCAGAATACCTCTATTAAGAGGATTTTTTGTTTTAATTATTTTTTATTTAGACTGACATATAGTACAGCCACCTTCTTACCAACCTTCTTCAGAAAGCAACCACATCTAGGGTGGAATGAGTTCAGCTACTGACAAAGCCCCCCCCCCAAAGAATTTTCTCAGGAAAAAAAAAAAACAAACCAGCAGAAATTCCTCCCAGGCAGAAAATGCTCAACTGCTCCATTCCTCTGTTTCCATCCCTTCTTCCCCTGCAGAAAGGCAAAAAGCCAGCCTCACTTTAACAGAAGTCCAGCAATTAACACTATTTGGGAAGCTCCATTCTCACTAAAGCAAAGGTTAATTGTTCCACATTCATTTGTCAGACTTCAAGAGATGAGTTCTACAATATTAGAGTGGGGTTTTCATCTCTTTAATGCAATTTTTACATCTCCAGGAAAAAGTCTGAGTTAGAGTGTGCCAAAGGCAAATATTATCTAACTCTTCTAATGGAAAGCTAAAAGTCACATTTTGCAACTGCTGGAGAGGCAGAAAGGGCCTTGGAACAAAGTCATTGAAAAGCAAAAATGTCTTCAAGCTATAATAGACTTTAATGAAGTTAAAGAAAGGCACCATCAGGAAATGACCAGACTGCAGAGAGCCAGGTGTCCATCTGGCAGACCTGCAAGGGTCCTCTGCAACCTTGTGCTCCATCCCCTGAGCAATCACTGAAAACACGTGTCCTCCCTCACTTGAAAAGCCTCTGGTGGATCCCATCTGCCTAAAAGCCACCCTCAAATAAAAAGACAGTCTTTCAGAAAGGCAAAGACTAAGAGTAATAAAGACAACTAAAACTGCACCAATCCCTAGAGGACAAGAGCAAAGATTTGCTCGGGGAATTTGAGGCAACTCAGGTTAATTCAGAATTATTGTTTATGTATTCAAACACCAAACATGATTAACTGACATCTCCATTACTAAAAAAAAAGAAAAAAAAAAAGCCAGCTGCCAAGCCAAGCACATGTGAATGAAGCATAACAGCAAATTATTTCTTCTTGTTATCTGTTCTTTTCCTGGATCTCCATGACTGTGTGCAAACAATTCCTGATGTTGCTGTAAGCTGAGCATTCCTGCTAGAGCCAGTGAAAGGCTGAGCTCATTCCAGACTCGCTCTTTTGGAGCTATTTATTACACTAACAAATCATAGCACACACTTTATCTAATAACATTGGAGGGGGGATAAATTAGCAGAGAGGGAGGGATTTTAAGGATGCACCTTCATTAAAAACAAACAAAAAACAAAAACCACTCCCAAAACACAACTGAACAGAAGCCAAGGGGAGAGATGCCAACAGGCTGTATTGCCTGGCTATGCCAAAATCTCGATCTGTGTGGGCCCCACTGAGGTGAGCAGAGTGTTCAGTGGACAGATCCTGTCTTGGTGAGCTTATGGACAGGAGAAGAGAGGGGTCAAACAAGTCTGGAGAAGGTTATTCCATAGAACAGAGCCAGGTTTACCACAGATTTTATATTCTGTAGTTTACCTTCTATGACTGCTGCTACTAAAATCTTAAGTTCTCACCTGAGCACTCCCCCCACTCCCTGCAACAGGTAAAGGAGAAAATGGGAGCAAACAAACTGATCAAAGGAAGACAGATCCCCAGGGTTATTTTTCCCCACATGTGGCTGCTTTGACACACCAACATGAACCATCAGTGCTCGCTTAAACAGAGAACAGTGGTGCCACATTTCCCTGCCCACCCCTGTCCTGAGGCAGCAGGGAAAGCAGCAGCTTTGCTTCCACCAGGGATGGGGAGAGAAGAGAGGCAGACTGATAAAGTAAGCAAGCAGACAGACCCTTGAGGATATGTCAGCTCCTGCTGTGACACAGAATGCAGTGCACATTTTGGGGAAAATCTGAGAAAGTAAAACTCTCATCTCTACAAACCCACATGTTCACAGTAGGTTTACTAACCATCAATCAGTGGGCACAAGCAGAACCAATCTTCCCTTTCCTTCCTCTGAAAATAACCAACTTTAAATTGTTTATACTTTATTTCCCACTAAAATGAAAACTACTGGACAACCCAGCAGTTGTCCCAAAAGGACATTTGAGACTGGCTCTGACAGTCCCTGCACACACTCCTGATTTACACTGGCTGTGGAGTCAGTTCTACCAAACCCCTGTCATTAAACAGATGTCCAGTCTGTCTACACTCTCCCACTACCACTGCTGGTATTGGAACCAGGTGCCCAAAAAAGGAAACACTGTGTAGATAACTTTAAATGGGAGCCAGATTACCCAGGATGTGAAAAGACTCACCCTCTGCAACCTGTCATCGCTGTTGGTCAGTCACCCTCAGCTTTTAGATCCAGGGATGTTACTGGGGATACAATCACAACAGATCTGTGCTCAAATGCTTGGCTCTTCTAATAATTGATATCACAATATGCACCTACACACTAACAAAACTAAACTCTCTTCCAGAGCTGCAGCACAGAACTCAGTCTTCCTGGCTTTGACATCTTCCTTTTCCATCTCCACAAAAGCACTACTCCTTTGCTAGGACATAACTGGTGACAAGCTTGCTGGCAAGCTTCCAGTAAGCCATTCCTAGTGCAAGTGTGGCATTTTGGCTTAAAGTCATCAGGTACTCTATTTGAGATAATGAAAATAACAGAAACCAGGTGTGAGAACCCACCCAGTGATCTGTCCCGAAGTCCTCCCTTTCGTAAAAGTGATTGCAAGTTCACTTCTGTACAGGAAAGGACTTAATGTCAAACCTGACATATAAAAACTGAACTACCAAAGGAGAGATTCTTGCAAATCCTTGCTGAGTATGTACAGCAACAAGAGACACTGCTGCAAATTCCTCAAAAGCCCCAATAATACAGACCATTATGGAGTATCACTGGATTAGGACACAATAATCAATGATTTTTCTATTTCCCTCATGTTTCAGTTGCTCTCTCCGACCTCATTTCACTGCTCAGGACTTCAATACAAGAGGTGCTCTGGAACAAATTCTCTTGCACCAATGTGAAAGACAGACAAACCCAGAAGATGCAGCATCCCAAATGAAAGTGAACACGGAAGTTTGATGCCTGCTTGGCCCAGGCATCTCCCAAGACCACGTTCCATGCCACACCTCACCACCAACCGTGTCCTCCTTTTGGGCCATCCCAAACCCGACCAGGAACGCTCAGGGAGGGGACAAATCCTTGTCAAAGGGGGACCCCACGATCAACTCACCAGCACACGATCTCCAAGCCGTAAGTCCTTCTCCCCCTTTTTCACAGACCCGCTGTCCGAGAGGTTGGACCCGGACTCGTTGCCCGTCTTCATGGCGCTGTTGAGGACGCTCTCCCGCAGCGGGATGACGCGAGTGGAGAGAGGCGGCGTGGCCGTCCCCGAGTGCAGGGACAAGTTCTGAGCCGTCAGGGAGTCCACGGAGGGGGCGTCGCTGCCCGAGCCCTCGGCCACCGGCTGCCGCGTCAGCTTGGACGGTCGCGTAAAAATCCCCTGCAGCGGCTGGCACTCGAAGTACCGCACCCCCCCGACGGAGCCGTCATTCTTACCCACCGGGTCATCCAGAACAACCCCTGCCCACTGGCCCGGAGCAAACTGCGTCTCCCCAAGGTACTGGATCACTCCTGGCTTCACTCCGTTCACCCAGACGCGTTCGCCCACCACGAAGTCTCCCAGGAAATCATCGCCCACCTCGGCGACCTTCGAACCCGACTTCTCGGTGCTGGCGGTGGAGGCGGGACCCTGCTTGTGCAAAGGTGAGCCTGTGAATCAAGGGAAAAGAGGTCTTGGTACGAGGAGGAATCCTAGAAGGCAGCCAAAACACCAGGAAAGGTCAATTACAAAAAGGAAACATCTGGGACAACAGCTTCGGTTGCAGGTTTACACCCGGTGAAGGTTAAGCCCGAGCGACCCTGTTACTCACACATCTTCCTTGGCAGGAAAGTAAATCTGCACAGAAACCTCCATCTGCTGCCCAGTTTCTGCAGGTTTCACACAGAACACAGAGAAACAATCCCATGTCTTCACCCTCCTTTACAATGCCCACCTACCCCAGCCCGGTCACAGCCCCAGAGGGAATTTTGTGTGGCAGCAATTAGTGTGAATAAACTCAAAAGTACAGGAGTGGTGGGTAAAGTGCTTATGCATCAAAAGGAGCCCAAGGAACTGCTGCTTTGAAAAATAATTTCAGAGTCATCCTTTAAAAAAAAAATATATATAAAAGAAGAAAATAAAAATGAGTGAGGCACTGATGTTTTAGTACCTGGTGCTATGAGAACTCCCTGTGTGTGGATCCAGGAAGCACTGAGAGTCCCACTGAGGGCACTAATGGCTTCTGTGGGACCACAGAGCTGCCTTCACAAATTCCTTGCTTTCCCCAGCTGCTGCTGTGCCCTTTGCTGGAGTGAGCAGTGAGCAGACACCTGGGGTATGTTCAATATAAACAGCATCTCTCTAAACAGGAAGCATCTACAAACCTTCATGCACGGCCTTCCAGGGCCGTAGGTTGGACACTGAACTCCATAAAACCAGCAATAAAGAGCACTCTTATTGCAGCATCAGCCCTCCAGCAATGCTCTGCTGCCTTGGAGAAGGAAAACTGCAAGGATGCTGGAATTCACTGTCCTGTTCACACTCTCCAGCACACCCTTGATTGGTCAAACTCCCCATAATACACAAGAAGACCCTTAAGTACGTGACTGGTGTCTGAATGGGAACAGAGTCAACTGAAGCAAACAAGAAGCAGTGACTCAACTCTTGCTGACCTCAGTGCCAAACTCTCTTATCACAAACTTTGGGCCCCAGGGGAACAAATGACAAGGACATGGACTTCATTAAAAAAGGGGGAGGTTAAGTAAAGCCCCAAAAGAAACCACACATGGAGGAAATAAGCTTGCAAAATAAGTCATACACCACAGACCTTCAGTCACCCTCAGCTCTCAGTAGCACTGAGGTCCCAAAAGTGGTTCTTCCCCACAGCTGGTGTGGAGGGTTTTGTGCAGGAGACTTGCACAATAAAAGCTACCTGGACTCTTTAGCAAAGCTTTAAGCTGAAATTTCTGGGTGCCACCAACCAGAAATGCCTAAAGCACACCCAGGAAGGAGTTTTTGCTGCCAGAGAAGGCTGACAGAGGACACCCAAAGCAGCTGCAGAGACAAGCCAAACTTGAGTGCTTATGTGAAACCAACTGTGAAACTTGTTCAGCCTCAACCATCACTGTGGCTCAGTCCACAACACTTCAACAGCTCTTTCACAAGTAATGGGCTTGACAGATCAGGCTCAGCTCCTAGAAAGCCTGAAAAACATAAAAGCTCTCAAAGCAAGATACTTCAAAGCCTTGCAAAAGGTCTAACATCATAAGAAAGAAAAGAGCACCAGGACTTCAGCAAATAGCTTAAGAACTTAGTTTCTGCTAAAACTGATTAAGAGTTAGGAGAGATGAATGTTGACACTTTGGTTCACATTAGACTCCAGAGCCAACACTTGGCAATTTCTACGGCATAAGTGCAGCAGTTTGTGGCTCCTGGAAGTCAGCAGGACTTCTGCCTGGTCTAAACCTTATCTGAACAAGGAGAGAGCAGTAGATAAGGCACGACTGTACAAACTCCTTTCATGAACAGGATCTCCTCCAACCTGCTCTCTGGGCTTGGTGGGCTGGGGCTGGAACAACTCTTGAGAAGATCAGCCAAAGGGGGCATGCACAGCACTGCACATGGGGAATGTCCAAGAGACCCATGATGGGCTCAGGAAGGGCAGTAACAGAAATACTGTTCCCAACTGAAAAGGTTGGTGGCAACAAGGACTGTGGTGCTCCCAGTGGAGCTCAGCCAGCTCCCTGGGAGAAACCTTCTCCCTTGGGTCCTGCTCTGAAAGTTTTCCTCCACCTCACATCTTCATTAACTTTTTTTTTGGGGGGGGGCAAATGTCTGACATTCCAGCTTCATCTCAGTCTCATAAATGACAATATGCCAAGATGAGCTCCATCAGAGGGACAGCATTACATCCAAGAAACAGTTTCACCTTAAGAAATGAAAACCAAAGGCTATAAGGATGCTTAGAGCTTTCAATCTTTACAGAAGATATCAAATATAAAGGAGTGGGAAGGAATCAGGGCTCCATAAGCAGAAAATAAGGCCACCTTTGTCATTTCAATGCTTAATAGCACAAGAGAATAAAGCAGACAGATTAGGAACCAACGAGTCATGTTTTGAAAAGACTCTAAGTTTAATAACCACAGATGGCTACAGAGGTTTATTGCCAAAAACATCTGTGACAGGTATGTCTCTCCTATCACGGGTATAAGAATAAATTAAATCAGAAACACAACTTACAGCCTGTTTTCATGCTCAGCAGAGTGCCCCAACACGCAGATCTCGTGGCACTGACATGTGACACACCGTGCCAAGGACAGCCAAATTCAACCTACTGTACAGGGAACTGTAATCATATGAAATCTGGGGGGCTCTGCATCCATATTCACAAAAGATGAAAGCTGTTTTTCTAGTCTTACTGGAGCCCGACTTTCGGCACACTGGCAGTTCCTTATTACAGGGTTTGGCTGATGATCAAGATACAGGTCACATTAGCTCTCACAAACACCTCTGCACCGTGGCTGGGATAAGCAAACCCCTCAGCAGCAAAGCCCAAGCAAAGAAAGGCAGGAAGGCTGCCCAAGGCTGAACAAACACCACAACAGGATTTAAAACCACATGCAGACTCACCGTGTTTCACTGCAAGAGCAAACACCCTCAAAACTGACTCACACCAGAAAAAAAAGAAACAGCACAGTTCATTTGGTTCATGGTGCAACGTTGTGCTCCCCCTAAAAAGCCAAGATTTTAGTGAAACTTTACACACTGTTCATTTTAGGTGCCTGTCTGACAGGCAGGGCTGCTGAACTACAGTAATTACAACTCCTCAGGGAAACAATCCCATCCCAGGCTCCCGAGCAGTGCAGGCAGAAGCATCGTTATTCCTGAGTATGAGGTGAATTATTCAAAATTATAAATGTAAGTGAGGAACTGCCTGAAGGTTCACCTTCTTCATTATGGCCATCTAGTAGAAACTTGGTGTTTTACATGACCTTCACTGCCCACATATGAAATAACCACAGAGCAGTCAATGGGCTTTTGTGCACCAGGTTTTCAGAGAAGCCAAGAGTCACCATGGTCAAGCTCAACTCATTCTTCATGGCTTTAGGTCTGAGGGACCCATTATCTAGATGGCCAGACAGCACCCAGAGTGGTCCAAGTAGACTGAGTTCTGATCCTCCTCGGTGGGTACCTGGCCACCAGCCTTTCAGAAGGCAAAGGGTAGCAATGAATAACCTGTCTTCAATTCCATGGTTATCTTAGGATAGCCCAAAACAGACATGGATGGCACTGCTCTGACAGACCTGACATCTGGAGTCACCCACTCTCCAAGCACCTCTTATAGCTTAGGGGAAAGCCACCCAAGAGGATTACCACCCAGGATTCCTGAGCTTTCCCAGTCTATAGGCACCCAGGGAGTTGGTCTGTGCCTGTGTCACTTGGATTTGCTGTTTCTGGAAAAGAAAAAATCATCTTGTTCTAGTCGGACTCCCCAGATAAACACCAGCAAGTTCCAAGAAACTCACTAACAGCAAAGCAAGGGTCCAGATCTAAGGTCTGAAACTGAGAAGAGTTACACTAGAGAAACACACCCAACAAAACATAAACAGAGTGTTTTCTACTCCAACCCTGCCATTACCTGGTGATGCCCATCAAGAAGCCACAGGAACTCTCTGAATGTCACTATCAGGCACCTAACTCAGCAGCTCACCTGGAAGCCAGCGATGGGGAAAGCTCTTCCTGCTTGGCCCAGGAGGATGTCCCTGTGCTGCTCAGCCCAGCACAGACCTCACTTGCTACCCAGGACTGTGACAGCAGCTCCTGCCTCCCCCTCTTGCTGGGACCAGGCTCTGAGACACAACAAGCAGTGAGCAGGATCTCTTCCACTCGAGCTTTTCAGCTTTACAACCCTATTGTGTTCATTAGTCAGCTCATTCTTTTCAGTTTAAATGGTTTTCCTGTAGGTCACAGCGTTCAGGGCTGAACAACAACCTGTAAATCAAAGTCACACACGGCATCCACTAAATGCACACCTTATCCAGCTCCAGTCTCTATTTTCCCTTTGGTTTTCACAAAGCCCAGATATGATGCATTAACCACCACTGTGGCAGACCTGGTGCTTAGGACCCGTTCTGCAAACTCATCCCATCAGTTTTAGGGGCCCAGAGTGACAGGGTACCTCACACTGACAGGGCACCAATACTCCAGGAGCCAAATTATAATCAGCCAAGAGCTGGAGAGGTTAAAGGTTTAACTGAAGTTTCAGCCTGTTCACATGGCTCCTGTTACTGTGTCAATGAAAGCCATGTGTCCAAAATCCGTGGAAGAACAAGGACTTCTGCAAGCAGAGCACGGACTCCTCCAGCTCTTGGAAATGTCTGCTGTGGGAAGGGGTGAGCAGAAGCTCTGTACAGTACAGAAGCAAGAAAACCCCCTTCAAGAAAGCTCTGGAAGTTGAAGCAGGAGGATCAGCAGGAATAACCTTCTCTGCAGGATCCCCAACAAGACATTCAGCCTCATGCTATGTCTAAGTGCCATCCACATTCACTGAATCCACACATCCCCTTACTCCCTCCACATCTTTCGACCTCCCACAGCACTCCAGTTGCTCATTTCTTATCACCAGGCAATTGAAACAAAGGGGAAAGGAAACTTGTTTCTAAAGTGGAGG